GTATGAAAGAAAACTGTGATTCTCACTATTTTAAAATTTTGTCCCGAAGGACAAGTGTATTGGGCAGCGTTCACCATGTTGTCTCTCCTTCACCATGTTGTCTCTCCCTCACCATGTTGTCTCTCCCTCACTATGTTGCCTCTCCCTCACTATGTTGCATCTCCCTCACTATCTATGTTGTCTCTCCCTCACTATGTTGCCTCTCCCTTACTATGTTGCCTCTCCCTCACTATGATGCCTCTCCCTTACTATGTTGCCTCTCCCTCACTATGTTGCCTCTCCCTTACTATGTTCCCTCTCCCTCACTATGTTGCCTCTCCCTCACTATGTTGCCTCTCCCTCACTATGTTGCCTCTCCCTCACTATGTTGTCTCTCCATCACTATGTTGCCTCTCCCTCACCATGCTGCCACTCCCTCACCATGTAGCCTCTTATTTTTATAAACTCTTGTTTCTCCTAAATAGACCACCTGAGTTAATAATACACACCTGTGTATTAATAACGTGTATGGAATAACGAGCAATTAATCCCGTCATCATACACAATGGTTAAATGCTCGTTATTCCAGTCGCCAAAAACCCTTTTGTTCATAAATGAAAAGTACTTTAAATAACTCACAAATGAATACATTCAAACTCTTCTTCAACAGGATTTTCCTCTCTTAGTTTAATTTACATTTGGATTCCCTACTTACGAGATCACATATATTGGTGCTAGTCTAATCTTAAAGCCAAAGTATACGAGGAAATGAACAAAAAATAATGTTGTGTATAAGTGCCAGGGGTACCTATTTACTGCAAGTGAACAGGCGCATTAGGTGAAAGAAAATGTCCCCCAAGCATTTCTGTTCCGTCCGGGAATCGAACCCGGGATCGCAGGCTTGTGGTTGGGTTTTTTTTTGGTGTTTAATGTAATGATTGGCTGGAATGGTCCGTTAGCGAAATTGAAATTGAAATTTTATTGAGGTAAAATACACACAAAGGGATGAGGTAGCTCAAGCTATTCTCACCCCGTTCAGTACATCGTGTTAATACATACATAGACACACATCACAAACAATAAACATATTACCAAACATTCTGAGAGATAAACATATACATTTCCTTCCGTTAGCGAGGCTTTCACTGTGCCTGCATTTTATAAACACAAGATTTTATATCTTGTGTTTATAAAATTTATAAACCTCTTTATGTTTTTTTTCGTTTGTATATATATATATACATAATGACTTTACTGTATTTCCGCCGCCATTAACTTAGATGAAGAACATTACAGTCAGTGCGCTATCCTACGCCAGCCAGCAGAGGCTAGGGGCTAAAAACAGAGTATTATTATTGTGTCAAAAATTAGATGCACCAAAATATTATCGCACATAATAGCCAGCACAAAAACACCACTTTTGAGATACACAAAAAGAAGAAATAGCTGATAATATTTATCATGTAATACCAGAACGAGAAATTTTTATAATTCACATTACGCTTAACGCAAAAAAATTGAATAACAGAAAAATATTCCTTTATAACAAAGTGCTATATAGTATAGAAATAGCATGACGCTTTTTCATGATACAAAACACCCGACACAATGAACTATTATTTATATTTGTATAACATTCTTGCAAGAAATTACTGAAGACTTGAGATAAAGATAGAGAGTGTCGTACCGCAGCGAGAAAGGTTGAGAGATCAGTTATACTGTGACCAGCGCCTCGCTAGCATACACATACAGCATACCCCGAGGGTCTCTTCCAGTATAACAGTATGTATATACGCTGTGTATGACCTCAAGTATTTTCTCCGGGAATTATAGGCGGTAATGTTAATGAGTGATTTTTGAACGACCTATCCAATTCAGCTGTTACTGCAGACATGAATCATGGGTATATATACGATTCTGTTGTATATTTATATGTATGCTACATATTAATATATGTGACAGACCAAGGAGGAAAATTGAAATAGGAATTTCCTTAAGTACTTTCGTATATTAATACATCTTCAGAAGGAGTCATTTTTAATCACGTGTTTATTTTCGTGATTTACACATATTAATATATGTACAAATGGCGTCAGATTATTATATTATGTTTTGTACGAAAATATTAATAGTTTAGAAGTATTTAAGTAGTTTTCATAATTGTGCTGGATTTTTTTTAATCGTAAATTAATTGTTTATATACTTTTGGTAATCATATTACTAATTGTTCGCGTAATATTATAATGGTTCGTTTATTTGCAATTTTTGAGTAAGCAATTTTTTAAAAATAATTTTGCAACAAATGAATTATGTGCAAGTTTTAAATAAAAAAAAATATATTGAATTCCTTGTACTTCATTCGTTTATATATTTTTCAATGTTTACTTAAAGAAATACGTCCAAAATTACAATAAAGACTGAATCAAATTTTAGAACGTTTAATTTTAAAGGAATTTACAAGGATTTTGTTAAATATAAACAAGAATTACTTGTAAACAGAATTTGTTTTGATTCTAACAAAATAATTAATGAAAGAAACTGTTTAAATAAATTTTGGAAAATTTTAAAGTGTGTGTCAGCGATGCTCCCAACCCGTCCTCTTAAGGTTTCCCTACGTCAAGAAACAGTCGTACTAACCACTAATAGTGCCCTTATCCTAACCTACCAGCGGACCCGCAAACAGAAAACCGGACAATACGTCAACTTCGCGAGCCGCTACCATTTGCTAGTACGACAATTTTTGGCTTTAGAGTATACGTCAAAATACGTCGTTCTATTACCAGTCGGACAAGCAGTAACACCCGAGCTCCTTGACGGTACAATCTCTGAACTCACGGGCTCACCATAGCCCGTGCTGCTTGGAACTTTTTATTTCTAGGTATCTCTGAACAATACTTCTGTAGACAGTTTTAAGGCTGCCCCATTGTTACATATTTTCTTAAACCTTCATGTACAATGTATAAATTCATGTATAATGATGTTTTCATAATACTAACAGGTTAATTAAAAATATATATTAAGTCAACGTGGCGTTAAAACATGTTAATATAGAAATCTTTTGAGTTTTGAAGTGTAAGATATTTTTTGTGATATATATATGGGTTCTGTAGTACTGTATTCTGCGACCTCGCTATATAATCGAGGACGAATCCCCCGGGGTAGGACAGTAACGGTTGGGCGCGTTTCATTTCACCTGATGCCTCTGTTTTACTAGCAGCAAAATAGGTACCCGGGGATTTAGGCAGCTGTAGTGGGTTGCATGCGGATAGGTCAGTAGTTGGTCTATAGGGAAGCTTCAGAAACCTCACTACAGGACAACGGGATTTATTATTATTGACAAAATATCTCGGTGATAATGTAGTTTACAGCGACAGTGGAGTACACAGTAAATCGCTTTTTCTATTCTCTCTCTCTCTCTCTCTCTCTCTCTCTCTCTCTCTCTCTCTCTCTCTCTCTCTCTCTCTCTCTCTCTCTCTCTCTCTCTCTCTCTCTCTCTCTCTCTCTCTCTTTCTCTCTTTCTCTCTTTCTCTCTTTCTCTCTCTCTCTCTCTCTCTCTCTCTCTCTCTCTCTCTCTCTCTCTCTCTCTCTCTCTCTCTCTCTCTCTCTCTCTCTCTCTCTCTCTCTTTCTCTCTTTCTCTCTTTCTCTCTCTCCCTCTCTCTCTCTCTCTCTCTCTCTCTCTCTCTCTCTCTCTCTCTCTCTCTCTCTCTCTCTCTCTCTCTCTCTCTCTCTCTCTCTCTCTCTCTCTCTCTCTCTCTCTCCCTCTCTCTCTCTCTCTCTCTCTCTCTCTCTCTCTCTCTCTCTCTCTCTCTCTCTCTCTCTCTCTCTCTCTCTCTCTCTCTCTCTCTCTCTCTCTCTCTCTCTCCCCCCGAGTGAGTGAGTGAAGAAGCACTGCCTATGCACTCTTGACCTACAGAAGCACCTCTGCCTCTGTCACCTGCTTATCCTGCTTGTCACTGCTGACCTCGTTAGCGGGTTGGCTCACGCGCGTGTGTATGTGTGTGTGTTTGCTGATGTGTTTGTGCTTGTGTGAGTGTGTTCAGACTTTTGGGTCCCGGCTTGCAGATATCGCTTCTCTGATGCACATGCTCCCTTTAAAACAGCGCTTTGTGATATCTGCGACCATGTACTGGTGGGTACAGCGATAGGCCTCGCTTCTTGTAGGGTCGGCGTTCGATCTCCCAATGTGCCAAGTGGTTGGGCACTGTGCATGGAATCAACACCTGCAGTCATATTGCTCAGTGGAACACAGTGTTGACATTTTGTATGATTGTGTTGAGGGTCTTTAGTAAATCACAGTGTTGAAGGCCCTTTTATGTGAGTCAATGTTGACGGCCTCTTGACAGCTCATTGACAGTCGGTTGATGGTTCGTTATCGTAGCCGACCAGTGACGTCATCACACGTGACTCAAGCACACAGTCTGGGAAGTTATTACTTGAGCGAAGCCGTATTAGTGCTTGCTCATCACCACGCGTCTGGACTTGTACCCGTCTAGCTGTGACTGTGGAGGTCGAGCTCTAGCTCTCTTGCCTCGCCTCTCAACAACAAAACTCGCCTCATAATCGACTTGTAAATGGTCAGGGGGGGGGGGGGGTAGAAATAGCCTAAGCTACTCTATCCCTTTGAGAGGTAGATTGACCAGACCACACACTAGAAGGTGAAGGGACGACGACGTTTCGGTCCGTCCTAGAACATTCTCAAGTTCAAGAATGGTCCAGGACGGACCGAAACGTCGTCGTCTCTTCACTTTCTAGTGTGTGGTCTGGTCAACATTTAATCAACAGGTGTAAAAGTTTCTGTCCTCTGTCATATGGACATTTGAATTGTAATTACTAACCTGTTCCTCAAGCTGCATGGTAGTATCCGTGAAGATCACGGTAGTTATCTTGAGATGATTTCGGGGCTTTTTAGTGTCCCCGCTGTCCTCGACCAGGCCTCCGCCCTCAGGAAGCAGCCCGTGACAGCTGACTAACACCCAGGTACCTATTTTACTGCTAGGTAACAGGGGGCATAGGGTGAAAGAAACTCTGCCCATTGTTTCTCGCCGGCGCCTGGGATCGAACCCAGGACCACAGGATCACAAGTCCAGCGTGCTGTCCGCTCGGCTCCCATAGAAGTTACCATAGAAGGAGTTAATTTTAAATAATTAGTTTTAGTTTTGTTGGGGTACAGGAAGCCTGTGTATATATATTTTTATATACTTTAGGTTCATATCGGTCCTCTTACCCGAAGGCCGAACTATTCAGCCCAGCCTCCTGGTTAGGTGGTACTTATACTAACGATGAGAACCATCACATATATATTAACGTAAAAGGTAATTAGCAATTAGATATCGGACAGTTGAATTTGAACAAACCGGGAAAAGTTTTGTATTTGTGCTGCAAAGACAAGCCTAAACAGACCTTCCTAGGCCTAATACACGCTATCTGAAGCCTAATATAGTACATATATGTGCTATACTAGGCCTATAGGAATATTTACGCTTGTTTTTAGCCTTTTTTTTAGGACTATAAAGTGAATAGTACCAAATTTTACTATTTAATTGCCTTTTACGTCAATATATATGTAGAATGGTCTACATAGTTACAAAAAGTACTAGCTAAAACAGGAGGATGTGTTAAACTATTGACCCAGGCCAACATGCTTCCCACAATAGTTGTGTAACTCCCGGATACCTGTTTACCGATCTAGGTGAACAGAGGCATTAGGTAAATTTAATCATGCCCAACTATTTCTGTGCCGGTCGGGGATCGAACCCGGGATCCCCCGATTGAGTCGAAAACGCGAAGCCAACTGTACTACAAGACCCCCTAAAATTCAGGCATTATATTTTAAATGCATCAAAATATTAAAATTAGCTTTTGTTTTCAAATACAGTATTAAGGTTATTGAAGCCTAATATAATAGATCAAGTAAACAGTAACTTGTAATAGGCTAAAACAACGTAGTGGCTTTAGGTATTGTATGTACAAGCTCTTTCTATAAATACTACCTGGTTGATGGGGTTCTGGGAGTTGTTCTACTCCCGAAGCCCGGCCCGAGGCCAGGCTTGACTTGTGAGAGTTTGGTCCACCAGGCTGTTGCTTGGAGCGGCCCGCAGGCCCACATATACCTGGTTGATGGGGTTCTGGGAGTTCTTCTACTCCCCAAGCCCGGCCCGAGGCCAGGCTTGACTTGTGAGAGTTTGGTCCACCAGACTGTTGCTTGGAGCGGCCCGCAGGCCCACATACCCACCACAGCCCGGTTGGTCCGGCACTCCTTGAAGGAAACAATCTAGTTTCCTCTTGAAGATGTCCACGGTTGTTCCTGTAATATTTCTGATGCTCGCTGGTAGGACGTTGAACAACCGCGGACCTCTGATGTTTATACAGTGTTCTCTGATTGTACCTATGGCACCTCTGATGTTTATACAGTGTTCTCTGATTGTGCCTATGGCACCTCTGCTCTTCACTGGTTCTATTCTGCATTTTCTTCCATATCGTTCACTCCAGTACGTTGTTATTTTACTGTGCAGATTTGGGACCTGTCCCTCCAGTATTTTCCATGTGTATATTATTTGGTATCTCTTTCGTCTCCTTTCTAGAGAGTACATTTGGAGAGTACACAATCGACTTGAGAATGGTCCAGGACGGACCGAAACGTCGTCGTCCCTTCAATTTCTAGTGTGTGGTCTGGTCAACATTTGGAGAGCTTTGAGACGATCCCAATAATTTAGGTGTTTTATCTCGTCTATGCGTGCCGTATATGTTCTCTGTATTCCTCAATTTCAGCAATCTCTCCTGCTCTGAAGGGGGAAGTGAGTACTGAGCAGTACTCGAGACGGGACAACACAAGTGACTTGAAGAGTACAACCATTGTGATGGGATCCCTGGATTTGAAAGTTCTCGTAATCCATCCTATCATTTTTCTGGCTGTCGCAATATTTGCTTGGTTATGCACCCTAATGTATACTACATTATGTTTGTAACACATCATCTATATATGTACTTTTTCCTGAATAAAAAAAATTAATTTCATTTAATTCGCGCATAGTTTATTACATTAAATATATTTTAAGACTGAAGAAGATGGCTGTAGCTACTTAAATAAAGATGTTTGTATATGTAATAGCCCGAACCAGTTTTGTCGATATGTGTTATGTTACTTATACACGAGTACAGAATATTGAAGGGTGAACAAATCCGTGTAGTTTAGTGTAGTGGAGAGTGAACAAATTCGTGTAGTGTAGTGTATTAGAGGGTGTACAAATCAGAGTAGTGTAGTGTATTGGAGGGTGAACAAATCCGTGTAGTGTAGTGTATTGGAGAGTGAACAAATCCGTGTAGTGTAGTGTATTGGAGGATGAACAAATCAGAGTAGTGTAGTGTAGTGGAGAGTGAACAAATCCGTGTAGTGTAGTGTATTAGAGGGTGTACAAATCAGAGTAGTGTAGTGTATTGGAGGGTGTACAAATCAGGGTAGTGTAGTATATTGGAGGGTGAGCAAGCTACATGCAGCCTAGCGGCCGTAACACCATCACAGCTGACTGGTCATGGGTTCATCTCCCGGCCCTCAGAAGGTTGGGTACGTTCTCTTACACCTGATACTTCTGCTCACCTGGCAGTAAACACGTACGTGGAAGTTATAGCCATCTGTTGTGAGTTACGTCATTGGGAACGTCAGACTAGGAGATTCACGAAGCAGTTACGCAAGTACTTACGAACGTGTACATCTTTCCTCGATTTTTGACGGCTTTGGTTACATTTATTAAACAGTTTACAAGCATGAAAACTATCCAAATCAACTGTTGTTATTGTTATAAACAGCCTCCTGGTGCTTCGGAGCTCATTAACAGCTTAATAATTGTAAACAAAGCCTCCAAAGATTGAGAAAAGATGTACAGGTTCGTAAGTGCTTGCGTAACTGCTTCGTGAATCTGGGAACATCCTAGGCTACTCCATGGTGCCAGAAGCACAGTTTGACACGCCATATATTTGGATCCCGTCTTGTGGTCTATACCCGCGGTACGTCAGCGCTGAACACGATACGTGAGTTACCAGAGCCGGCTTGAGGTCGCGCACCGCAAAACCATTTGTGCCTTTTTTGTCAGCTGAGTGGCCGGTTCATTCTCTCAGAGCTTCTAGTGCATCTTGGTATAATGTGTACTTTTATGTGGAAGAATGCACACTGCGTACTTGTCATGGTTTAAGTACACCTTGGAGACCCCTGTCGATTAATATAAATATATATATATATATATATATATATATATATATATATATATATATATATATATATATATATATATATATATATATATATATATATATATATATATATATTAAATACATATAACAATCGCTGTTCGAAGACCTCATCCAGCTCTATATATAGATATATCTGTATATAGAAATGTATATAAAATAGTCATCCTTTAATTTTAAATTTTCTTTTCGTATCATAATGAAAGAAAACATAACTAGCTATAACTAAAGAAAAATACAAAAGTAGCCAGACTCGTGTTTTCCACATAACGTGAAAGTCAATCTTGAACAAAAAATAAATGTAGTGATGTAAATAACGAATTTTGCACGCGATGACGCAAAAAAAACGCCAAAATTGTAATTATGAACAATTGTTTTATGTATAACAAGAAGTTTTGCCTTCCTATTAGGCAAAATAACCAGATATTAGTTTTTGCTAATATTATGAATATATAAACAGAACTCAGTTCTAAAAGTCTTCTTTAGCTCTGAACATCAAATTGGCACTAAGGAACAGTGAGTGTTCCTTAGTGCCAATGTGTTTCATTATGGCAGCTGGCGTATGTCGAGGTCTGAGGGGAGGGGGATTATCAGCAGAAATCACCAAGAATTAAGGGGTCAGGATAAGGATTTGTGATGGGACGGGAGAAACGGAATGGTGCCCAACCACTTGTGGACGGTCGGGGGATTGAACGCCGACCTGCATGAAGCGAGAACGTCGCTCTACCGTCCAGCCCAAGTGGTTGGACTGGACTAGGTCTGAGAGTAAAAATTGATTCTTTTTAACAATGATCATTATTGTGTTGCCGTCACAGCAAGACCGGATGAGTGGTGCAGCCTGTGGGGCGCTCCAGTCTTCCATGATGATGCCGCCCACGCCGCCCTCGCCGCCCACACACACCCTCGCCGCCCACACACACACACGCCGCCCACACACACCCTCGCCGCCCACACACGCCCTCGCCTCCACCACCACCACCCCATCCTATTTCGCCTCCAAGCAGGTATCGTACTTGAAATATATTCGTGGCATGCAACCTCTGTGAAATATGATGCTAATAGCCACAGTTCTGGTTTCTGCTTCTCATGTTTATCGTTCACGTTTCAGAATTGGCTCCGTTAACTGTCATACTAGGCTATTCTCTTTCTTTTTATGCCTTGTATATGCAATTATGAGTAGCCTACAGTTACTAACACGTGCACCTTCAATAGCCGTGATCAATATGGTTGTATTGTTCAGACCAGGAGGGTGTATGGCAGCCAAACAAGATGTGAACAGCTGCCCCCAGAGGTCACCCCGGTGCCGGGTGTACTAGAACACCTGCCCCCAGAGGTCACCCCCGTGCCGGGTGTACTAGAACACCTGCCCCCAGAAGTCACCCCCGTGCCGGGTGTACTAGAACACCTGCCCCCAGAGGTCACCCCCGTGCCTGGTGTACTAGAACATCTGACCCCAGAGGTAACCCCGGTGCCGGGTGTACTAGAACACCTGCCCCCAGAGGTCACCCCCGTGCCTGGTGTACTAGAACACCTGCCCCCAGAGGTCACCCCCGTGCCGGGTGTACTAGAACACCTGCCCCCAGAGGTCACCCCCGTGCCGGGTGTACTAGAACACCTGCCCCCAGAGGTCACCCCCGTGCCGGGTGAACTAGAACATCTGCCCCCAGAGGTCACCCCCGTGCCGGGTGTACTAGAACACCTGCCCCCAGAGGTCACCCCCGTGCCGGGTGTACTAGAACACCTGCCCCCAGAGGTCACCCCCGTGCCGGGTGTACTAGAACACCTGCCCCCAGAGGTCACCCCCGTGCCGGGTGTACTAGAACACCTGCCCCCAGAGGTCACCCCCGCTACCATGGCCCCACTCGGTGAGTAGCAATTAGATCTATTAAAAATAATAATATTTCAATCTTAAATTATATTTGTTTAATATAATTAATTACGTTTTCTAAATTACCAAAAAAACTTAAAAGAGAAATAAAAAAATTACAAAATAATTAAAGATTAACATAATGATGTTGCCATTAATCAAAAGAAATTCATTTTTAGAACTTGAAATAGAGACAACCGGCGATAGGCCCAAAGGATACAGATTAGAAGAGCCAAGAGATGTCGACACCATAACTCTAGTACCACTATCTTCAACAGTACCAGCAACACCTGTCACAGATTCGAATTCAGCACCTGCCACAGAATCAGAAGCAGCAATTGTCAGAGAATCAGAAGCAGCACCTGCCACAGAATCAGAAGCAGCACCTGTCAGAGAATCAAAAGCAGCACCTGTAACAGAATCAGAAGCAGCACCTGTCACAGAATCAGAAGCAGCACCTGCCATAGAATCGGAAGAAACACCTGTAACAGAGTCAGAAACAGCACCTGTAACAGAATCAGAAGCAGCACCTGTCAGAGAATCAAAAGCAGCACCTGTAACAGAATCAGAAGCAGCACCTGTCACAGAATCAGAAGCAGCACCTGCCATAGAATCGGAAGAAACACCTGTAACAGAGTCAGAAACAGCACCTTCCACAGAATTGGAAGCAGCACCTGCTACAGAGTCAGAAGCAGCACCTGTCACGGAATCAGAAGCAGCACCTGTCACAGAATCAGAAGTAGCACCTGCCACAGAATCAGAAGCAGCACCTGTCACAGAATCAGAAGCAGCATCTGTAACAGAATCAGAAGCAGCACCTGTCACGGAATCAGAAGCAGCACCTGTCACAGAATCAGAAGCAGCACCTGCCACAGAATCAGAAGCAGCACCTGTCACAGAATCAGAAGCAGCACCTGCCACAGAATCAGAAGCAGCACTTGTCACAGAATCGAAAGCAGCACCTGTCACAGAATCGAAAGCAGCACCTGCCACAGAATCAGAAGCAGCACCTGTCACAGAATCAGAAGCAGCACCTGTCACAGAATCAGAAGCAGCACCTGCCACAGAATCAGAAGCAGCACCTGCCACAGAATCAGAAGCAGCACCTGTCACAGAATCAGAAGCAGCACTTGTCACAGAATCGAAAGCAGCACCTGTCACAGAATCGAAAGCAGCACCTGCCACAGAATCAGAAGCAGCACCTGTCACAGAATCAGAAGCAGCACCTGTCACAGAATCAGAAGCAGCACCTGCCACAGAATCAGAAGCAGCACCTGCCACAGAATCAGAAGCAGCACCTGTCACAGAATCAGAAGCAGCACCTGTCACAGAATCGAAAGCAGCACCTGTCACAGAATCGAAAGCAGCACCTGTCAGAGAATCAGAAGCAGCACCTGTCAGAGAATCAGAAGCAGCACCTGTCAGAGAATCAGAAGCAGCACCTGTCAGAGAATCAGAAGCAGCACCTGTCAGAGAATCAGAAGCAGCACCTGTCAGAGAATCAGAAGCAGCACCTGTCAGAGAATCAGAAGCAGCACCTGTCAGAGAATCAGAAGCAGCACCTGTCAGAGAATCAGAAGCAGCACCTGCCATAGAATCGGAAGAAGCACCTGTGACAGAATCGAAAGCAGCACCTGCCACAGAATCTGATGCAGCACCTGTCACAGAATCTGATGCAGCACCTGCCAAAGAATCGGATGCAGCATTTGTCACAGAATCAGAATCAGCACCTGTCAGAGAATCAGAAGCAGCACCTGCCACAGAATCAGAAGCAGCACCTGTCAGAGAATCAAAAGCAGCACCTGTAACAGAATCAGAAGCAGCACCTGTCACAGAATCAGAAGTAGCACCTGCCATAGAATCGGAAGAAACACCTGTAACAGAGTCAGAAACAGCACCTGTAACAGAATCAGAAGCAGCACCTGTCAGACATTCGGAAGCAGCACCTTCCACAGAATTGGAAGCAGCACCTGCTACAGAGTCAGAAGCAGCACCTGTCACAGAATCAGAAGCAGCACCTGCCACAGAATCAGAATCAGCACCTGTCAGAGAATCAGAAGCAGCACCTGCCATAGAATCGGAAGAAACACCTGTAACAGAGTCAGAAACAGCACCTTCCACAGAATTGGAAGCAGCACCTGCTACAGAGTCAGAAGCAGCACCTGTCACGGAATCAGAAGCAGCACCTGTCACAGAATCAGAAGCAGCACCTGCCACAGAATCAGAAGCAGCACCTGTCACAGAATCAGAAGTAGCACCTGCCATAGAATCGGAAGAAACACCTGTAACAGAGTCAGAAACAGCACCTGTAACAGAATCAGAAGCAGCACCTGTCAGACATTCGGAAGCAGCACCTTCCACAGAATTGGAAGCAGCACCTGCTACAGAGTCAGAAGCAGCACCTGTCACAGAATCAGAAGCAGCACCTGCCACAGAATCAGAATCAGCACCTGTCAGAGAATCAGAAGCAGCACCTGCCATAGAATCGGAAGAAACACCTGTAACAGAGTCAGAAACAGCACCTTCCACAGAATTGGAAGCAGCACCTGCTACAGAGTCAGAAGCAGCACCTGTCACAGAATCAGAAGCAGCATCTGTAACAGAATCAGAAGCAGCACCTGTCACGGAATCAGAAGCAGCACCTGCCACAGAATCAGAAGCAGCACCTGCCACAGAATCAGAAGCAGCACCTGTCACAGAATCAGAAGCAGCACCTGTCACAGAATCGAAAGCAGCACCTGTCACAGAATCGAAAGCAGCACCTGTCAGAGAATCAGAAGCAGCACCTGTCACAGAATCAGAAGCAGCACCTGTCACGGAATCAGAAGCAGCACCTGTCAGAGAATCAGAAGCAGCCCCTGTCAGAGAATCAGAAGCAGCACCTGTCAGAGAATCAGAAGCAGCACCTGTCAGAGAATCAGAAGCAGCACCTGTCACAGAATCAGAAGCAGCACCTGTCACAGAATCGAAAGCAGCACCTGTCAGAGAATCAGAAGCAGCACCTGTCACAGAATCAGAAGCAGCACCTGTCACGGAATCAGAAGCAGCACCTGTCAGAGAATCAGAAGCAGCCCCTGTCAGAGAATCAGAAGCAGCACCTGTCAGAGAATCAGAAGCAGCACCTGTCAGAGAATCAGAAGCAGCACCTGTCAGAGAATCAGAAGCAGCACCTGTCAGAGAATCAGAAGCAGCACCTGTCAGAGAATCAGAAGCAGCACCTGCCATAGAATCGGAAGAAGCACCTGTGACAGAATCGAAAGCAGCACCTGCCACAGAATCTGATGCAGCACCTGTCACAGAATCTGATGCAGCACCTGTGACAGAATCAGAAGCAGCACCTGTCACAGAATCAGAAGCAGCACCTGTCAGAGAATCAGAAGCAGCACCTGCCATAGAATCAGAAGCAGCACCTGCCATAGAATCGGAAGAAACGCCTGTAACAGAATTGGAAGCAGCACCTGTCAGACATTCGGAAACAGCACCTTCCACAGAATCAGAAGCAGCACCTGCCATAGAATCAGAAGCAGCACCTGCCATAGAATCAGAAGCAGCACCTGTCACAGAATCAGAAGCAGCACCTGCCATAGAATCAGAAGCAGCACCTGCCATAGAATCAGAAGCAGCACCTGTCACAGAATCAGAAGCAGCACCTGCCATAGAATCAGAAGCAACACCTGCCATAGAATCAGAAGCAGCACCTGTCACAGAATCTGATGCAGCACCTGTCGCAGAATCTGATGCAGCACCTGTCACAGAATCTGATGCAGCACCTGCCACAGAATCAGAAGCAGCACCTGTCAGAGAATTAGAAGCAGCACCTGTCACAGAATCTGATGCAGCACCTGTCACAAAATCTGATGCAGCACCTGCTACAGAATCAGAAGCAGCACCTGCCACAGAATCAGAAGCAGCACCTGCCACAGAATCGGAAGCAGCACCTGTCACAGAATCTGATGCAGCACCTGTCACAGAATCTGATGCAGCACCTGCCACAGAATCAGAAGCAGCACCTGTCAGAGAATTAGAAGCAGCACCTGTCACAGAATCAGAAGCAGCACCTGTCACAGAATCAGAAGCAGCACCTGTCAGCGAATCAGAAGCAGCACCTGTCAGAGAATCAGAAGCAGCACCTGCCACAGAATCAGAAGCAGCACTTGTCACAGAATCTGAGGCAGCACCTGAGAAAGAATCAGAAGCAGCACTTGTCACAGAATCTGATGCAGCACCTGTCACAGAATTAGAGGCAGCACCTGTCAGAGAATCAGAAGCAGCACCTGTCACAGAATCAGAAGCAGCACCTGTCACAGAATCAGAAGCAGCACCTGTCAGCGAATCAGAAGCAGCACCTGTCAGAGAATCAGAAGCAGCACCTGCCACAGAATCAGAAGCAGCACTTGTCACAGAATCTGATGCAGCACCTGTCACTGAGTCTGATGCAGCACCTGCTACAGAATCAGAAGCAGCACCTGTCACAGAATCAGAAGCAGCACCTGCCACAGAAACAGAAGCAGCACTTGTCACAGAATCTGATGCAGCACCTGCCACAGAATTAGAAGCAGCACCTGTCAGAGAATCAGAAGCAGCACCTGCCACAGAATTAGAAGCAGCACCTGTCAGAGAATCCGAAGCAGCACCTGTCAGAGAATCAGAAGCAGCACCTGTCAGAGAATCAGAAGCAACTCCTGCAACAGAATCGGAAGCAGCACCTGTAACAGAATTCGAAGCAGCACTTGTAACAGAATCAGAAGCAGCACCTTCCACAGAATCGGAAGCAGCACATGAAATAGAATCAGAAGCAGCACCTGTCAGAGAATCAGAAGCAACTCCTGCCACAGAATCGGAAGCAGCACCTGTAACAGAATTCGAAGCAGCACCTGCAACAGAATCAGAAGCAGAACCTTCCACAGAATCAGAAGCAGCACCTGTCACAGAATCGGAAGCAACACCTGCCACAGAATCAATAACAGCACCTGTCAGAGAATCAGAAGCAGCACCTGCTTCAGAATTAGAAGCAGCACCTGTCACAGAATCAGAAGCAGCACCTGCCACAGAATCAGAAGCAGCACCTGCCACAGAATCGGAAGCAGCACCTGTCACAGAATCTGATGCAGCACCTGTCACAGAATCTGATGCAGCACCTGCCACAGAATCAGAAGCAGCACCTGTCAGAGAATTAGAAGCAGCACCTGTCACAGAATCAGAAGCAGCACCTGTCACAGAATCAGAAGCAGCACCTGTCAGCGAATCAGAAGCAGCACCTGTCAGAGAATCAGAAGCAGCACCTGCCACAGAATCAGAAGCAGCACTTGTCACAGAATCTGAGGCAGCACCTGAGAAAGAATCAGAAGCAGCACTTGTCACAGAATCTGATGCAGCACCTCTCACAGAATTAGAAGCAGCACCTGTCAGAGAATCAGAAGCAGCACCTGTCACAGAATCAGAAGCAGCACCTGTCACAGAATCAGAAGCAGCACCTGTCCGCGAATCAGAAGCAGCACCTGTCAGAGAATCAGAAGCAGCACCTGCCACAGAATTAGAAGCAGCACTTGTCACAGAATCTGATGCAGCACCTGTCACTGAGTCTGATGCAGCACCTGCTATAGAATCAGAAGCAGCACCTGTCAGAGAATCAGAAGCAGCACCTGCCACAGAAACAGAAGCAGCACTTGTCACAGAATCTGATGCAGCACCTGCCACAGAATTAGAAGCAGCACCTGTCAGAGAATCAGAAGCAGCACCTGTCAGAGAATCAGAAGCAGCACCTGTCAGAGAATCAGAAGCAACTCCTGCAACAGAATCGGAAGCAGCACCTGTAACAGAATTCGAAGCAGCACTTGTAACAGAATCAGAAGCAGCACCTTCCACAGAATCGGAAGCAGCACATGAAATAGAATCAGAAGCAGCACCTGTCAGAGAATCAGAAGCAACTCCTGCCACAGAATCGGAAGCAGCACCTGTAACAGAATTCGAAGCAGCACCTGCAACAGAATCAGAAGCAGAACCTTCCACAGAATCAGAAGCAGCACCTGTCACAGAATCGGAAGCAACACCTGCCACAGAATCAGAAGCAGCACCTGCTTCAGAATTAGAAGCAGCACCTGTCACAGAATCAGAAGCAGCACCTGCCACAGAATCAGAAGCAGCACCTGTCAAAGAATCAGAAGCAGCACCTGTCAGAGAATCAGAAGCAACACCTGCCACAGAATCGGAAGCAGCACCTTCCACTGAATCGGAAGCAGCACCTGCTACAGTATCAGAAGCAGCACTTGTAACAGAAACAGAAGCAGCACCTGTCAGAGAATCTGAAGCAGCACCTGTCACAGAATCAGAAGCAGCACCTGCCACAGAATCGGAAGAAGCACCTGCCATAGAATCAGAAGCAGCACCTGCCATAAAATCAGAAGCAGCACCTGCCACAGAATCAGAAGCAGTACCTGTCAGAGAATCAGAAGCAGCACCTGTCACAGAATCAGAAGCAGCACCTGCCACAGAATCAGAAGCATCACCTGCCATAGAATCAGAAGCATCAACTGCCATAGAATCAGAAGCAGCACCGGCCATAGAATCAGAAGCAGCACCTGCCATAGAATCAGAAACAGCACCTGCTATAGAATCAGAAGCAGCACCAGTCAGAGAATCAGAAGCAGCACCTGCCATAGAATCAGAAGCAGCACCTGCCATAGAATCAGAAGCAGCACCGGCCATAGAATCAGAAGCAGCACCAGTCAGAGAATCAGGAGCAGCACCTGCCACAGAATCAGAAGCAGCACCTGTCAGAGAATCAGAAGCAGCACCGGCCATAGAATCAGAAACAGCACCTGCCATAGAATCAGAAGCAGCACCTGTCACAGAATCTGATGCAGCACCTGCCACAGAATCAGAAGCAGCACCTGTCAGAGAATTAGAAGCAGCACCTGTCACAGAATCTGATGCAGCACCTGTCACAGAATCCGATGCAGCACCTGCTACAGAATCAGAAGCAGCACCTGCCACAGAAACAGAAGCAGCACCTGTCACAGAATCTGATGCAGCACCTGCCACAGAATTAGAAGCAGCACCTGTCAGAGAATCAGAAGCAGCACCTGTCACAGAAACAGAAGCAGCACCTGTCACAGAATCAGAAGCAGCACCTGTCACAGAATCAGAAGCAGCACCTGTCAGAGAATCAGAAGCAGCACCTGTCACAGAATTAGAAGCAGCACCTGTCAGACAATCAGAAGCAGCACCTGTCAGAGAATCAGAAGCAGCACCTGCCACAGAATCAGAAGCAGCACCGGCCATAGAATCAGAAGCAGCACCTGCCATAGAATCGGAAGCAGCACCTGCCATAGAATTAGAAGCAGCACCTACCACAAAATCAGAAGCACCATCTGACACAGAAGTGGAAGCAGCACCTGTCACAGAATCGGAAGCAGCACCTGCTACAGAATCGGAAGCAGCACCTTTCACAGAATCAGAAGCAGCACCTGCTACAGTATCAGAAGCATCACCTTCCACAGAATCGGAAGCAGCACCTGTAACAGAATCAGAAGCAGCTCCTTCCACAGAATCGAAAGCAGCACTTGCAACAGAATCGGAAGCAGCACCTGTAACAGAATCGGTAGCAGCACCTGCAACAGAATCAGAAGCAGCACCTTCCACAGAATCGAATGCAGCACTTGCAACAGAATCGGAAGCAGCACCTGTAACAGAATCGGAAGCAGCACCTGCTACAGAATCAGAAGCAGCACCTGTAACAGAATCGGTAGCAGCACCTGTCAGACATTCGGAAGCAGCACCTTCCACAGATTCGGAAGCAGCATCTGTTAAAGAATCGGAAGCAGCACCTCCCACTGAATCAGAAGCAGCACCTCCCACTGAATCAGAAGCAGCACCTGTCACAGAATCGGAAGCAACACCTGCCACAGTATCAATAGCAGCACCTGTCAGAGAATCAGAAGCAGCACCTGCTTCAGAATTAGAAGCAGCACCTGCTTCAGAATTAGAAGCAGCACCTGTCACAGAATCGGAAGCAGCACCTGCCATAGAATCAGAAGCAGCACCTGCCACAGAATCAGAAGCAACACCTGCCACAGAATCAATAGCAGCACCTGCTTCAGAATTAGAAGCAGCACCTGCCACAGAATCAGAAGCAGCACCTGTCAGAGAATCAGAAGCAGCACCTGCCACAGAATCAGAAGCAGCACCTGTCAGAGAATCAGAAGCAACACCTGCCACAGAATCGGAAGCAGCACCTTCCATAGAATCAGAAGCAGCACCTGCCATAGAATCAGAAGCAGCACCTGCCATAAAATCAGAAGCAGCACCTGCCACAGAATCAGAAGCAGTACCTGTCAGAGAATCAGAAGCAGCACCTTTCACAGAATCAGAAGCAGCACCTGCCACAGAATCAGAAGCATCACCTGCCATAGAATCAGAAGCAGCACCTGCCATAGAATCAGAAGCAGCACCGGCCATAGAATCAGAAGCAGCACCTGTCACAGAATCTGATGCAGCACCTGTCACAGAATCTGATGCAGCACCTGTCACAGAATCTGATGCAGCACCTGTCACAGAATCTGATGCAGCACCTGCTACAGAATCAGAAGCAGCACCTGTCAGAGAATCAGAAGCAGCACCTGTCACAGAATCAGAAGCAGCACCTGTCAGAGAATCAGAAGCAGCACCTGTCACAGAATCAGAAGCAGCACCTGTCAGAGAATCAGAAGCAGCACCTGTCACAGAATCAGAAGCAGCACCTGTCACAGAATCAGAAGCAGCACCTGTCAGAGAATCAGAAGCAGCACCTGTCACAGAATCTCATGCAGCACCTGTCACAGAATCTGATGTAGCACCTTTCACAGAATCTGATGCAGCACCTGCTACAGAATCAGAAGCAGCACCTATCAGAGAATCAGAAGCAGCACCTGTCAGAGAATCAGAAGCAGCACCTGCCACAGAAACAGAAGCAGCACCTGCCACAGAAACAGAAGCAGCACCTGCTACAGAATCAGAAGCAGCACCTGTGAGAGAATCAGAAGCAGCACCTGCCACAGAATCGAAAGCAGCACCTACCACAGAATCAGAAGCAGCACCTGCCACAGAATCAGAAGCAGCACCGGCCATAGAATCAGAAGCAGCACCTGCCATAGAATCGGAAGAAGCACCTGCCACAGAATCAGAAGCACCATCTGACACAGAAGTGGAAGCAGTACCGGCCATAGAATCAGAAACAGCACCTGCCACAGAATCTGAGGCAGCACCTGTAACAAAATCAGAAGCAGCACCTGCCACAGAATCTGAGGCAGCACTTGTAACAGAATCAGAAGCAGCACCTGCTACAGAATCAGAAGTAGCAACTGTCACAGAATCTGAGGCAGCACTTGTAACAGAATCGAAAGCAGCACCTGCAACAGAATCGGAAGCAGCACCTGTAACAGAATCAGAAGCAGCACCTTCCACAGAATCGAAAGCAGCACCTGTCACAGAATCAGAAGCAGCACCTGTCACAGAATCGGAAGCAACACCTGCCACAGAATCAATAGCAGCACCTGTCAGAGAATCAGAAGCAGCACCTGCTTCAGAATTAGAAGCAGCACCTGCCATAGAATCAGAAGCAGCACCTGCCACAGAATCAGAAGCAACACCTGCCACAGAATCAATAGCAGCACCTGTCAGAGAATCAGAAGCAGCACCTGCTTCAGAATTAGAAGCAGCACCTGTCACAGAATCAGAAGCAGCACCTGCCACAGAATCAGAAGCAGCACCTGTCAGAGAATCAGAAGCAGCACCTGCCACAGAATCAGAAGCAGCACCTGTCAGAGAATCAGAAGCAACACCTGCCACAGAATCGGAAGCAGCACCTTCCACTGAATCGGAAGCAGCACCTGCTACAGTATCAGAAGCAGCACTTGTAACAGAATCAGAAGCAGCACCTGTCAGAGAATCTGAAGCAGCACCTGTCACAGAATCAGAAGCAGCACCTGCCACAGAATCGGAAGAAGCACCTGCCATAGAATCAGAAGCAGCACCTGCCATAAAATCAGAAGCAGCACCTGCCACAGAATCAGAAGCAGTACCTGTCAGAGAATCAGAAGCAGCACCTGTCACAGAATCAGAAGCAGCACCTGCCACAGAATCAGAAGCATCACCTGCCATAGAATCAGAAGCAGCACCTGCCATAGAATCAGAAGCAGCACCTGTCACAGAATCAGAAGCAGCACCTGCCACAGAATCAGAAGCATCACCTGCCATAGAATCAGAAGCAGCACCTGTCACAGAATCAGAAACAGCACCTGCCATAGAATCAGAAGCAGCACCTGTCAGAGAATCAGAAGCAGCACCTGCCATAGAATCAGAAGCAGCACCTGCCATAGAATCAGAAGCAGCACCTGCCATAGAATCAGAAGCAGCACCTGCCATAGAATCAGAAGCAGCACCTGTCAGAGAATCAGGAGCAGCACCTACCACAGAATCAGAAGCAGCACCTGTCAGAGAATCAGAAGCAGCACCGGCCATAGAATCAGAAGCAGCACCTGCCATAGAATCAGAAACAGCACCTGCCATACAATCAGAAGCAGCACCTGTCAGAGAATCAGAAGCAGCACCGGCCATAGAATCAGAAGCAGCACCTGTCAGAGAATTAGAAGCAGCACCTGCCACAGAATCGAAAGCAGCACCTGCCACAGAATCAGAAGCAGCACCGGCCATAGAATCAGAAGCAGCACCTGCCACAGAATCAGAAGCAGCACCGGCCATAGAATCAGAAGCAGCACCTGCCACAGAATCAGAAGCAGCACCTGCTACAGAATCAGAAGCAGCACCTGTCACTGAATCTGAGGCAGCACTTGTAACAGAATCAGAAGCAGCACCTGCTACAGAATCAGAAGCAGCACCTGTAACAGAATCAGAAGCAGCACCTGCTACAGAATCAGAAGCAGCACCTGTAACTGAATCAGAAGCAGCACCTGCTACAGAATCAGAAGCAGCACCTGCCATAGAATCAGAAGCAGCACCTGCCAGAGAATCAGAAGCAGCACCTGCCACAGAATCGGAAGAAGCACCTGCGATAGAATTAGAAGCAGCACCTGCCATAGAATCAGAAGCAGCACCTGCCATAGAATCAGAAGCATCACCTGCCACAGAATCGGAAGAAGCACCTGCCATAGAATTAAAAGCAGCACCTGCCACAGAATCAGAAGCAGCACCTGCCATAGAATCAAAAGCAGCACCTGCCACAGAATCGGAAGAAGCACCTGCCATAGAATTAGAAGCAGCACCTGCCACAGAAACGGAAGAAGCACCTGCCATAGAATTAAAAGCAGCACCTGCCAGAGAATCAGAAGCAGCACCTGCCATAGAATCAAAAGCAGCACCTGCCACAGAATCGGAAGAAGCACCTGCCACAGAATCAGAAGAAGCACCTGCCACAGAATCGGAAGCAGTACCTGCCATAGAATCAAAAGCAGCACCTGCCACAGAATCGGAAGAAGCACCTGCCATAGAATTAGAAGCAGCACCTGTCACAGAATCAGAAGCAGCACCTGCTACAGAATCAGAAGAAGCACCTGCTACAGAATCAGAAGCAGCACCTGTCGTAGATACAGAAGCAGCACCTGCCACAGAGTCGGAAACAGCACCTGCCACAGAATCGGAAGAAGCACTTGCCATAGAATCAGAGGCAGCACCTGTAATAGAATCGGAAGCAGCACCTGCCATAGAATCAAAAGCAGCACCTGTCACAGAATCAGAAGAAGCACCTGCCACAGAATCGGAAGCAGCACCTGCCACAGAATCAGAAGAAGCACCTGCCATAAAATTAGAAGCAGCACCTGCAACAGAATCGGAAGCAGCACCTGCCATAGAATCAGAAGCAGCACCTGCAACAGAATCGGAAGCAGCACCTGCCATAGAATCAGAAGCAGCACCTGTCATAGAATCAGAAGCAGCAACTGCCACAGAATCGGAAGCAGCACCTGCCATAGAATCAAAAGCAGCACCTGTCACAGAATCAGAAGAAGCACCTGCCACAGAATCGGAAGCAGCACCTGCCACAGAATCAGAAGAAGCACCTGCTACAGAATTGGAAGCAACACCTGCCACAGAATCGAAAGCAGCACCTGATACAGAATCAGAAGAAGCACCTGCCACAGTATCAGGAGAAGCACCTGCCACAGAATCAGAAGCAGCATCTGACACAGAATCAGAAGAAGCACCTGCCACAGAATCAGAAGCAGCATCTGACACAGAATCAGAAGAAGCACCTGCCACAGAATCGGAAGAAGCACCTGTCACAGAATCAGAAGCAGCATCTGACACCGAATCAGAAGAAGCACCTGCCACAGAATCAGAAGCAGCACCTGCTACAAAATCAGAAGCAACACCTGTCACAGAATCAGAAGCAGCACCTGCCACAGAATCAGAAGCAGCACCTTCTACAGAATCGAAAGCAGCACCTTCTACAGAATCGAAAGCAGCACCTGCAACAGAATTGGAAGCAGCACTTACCCCTGTAGCAGATGCAGGTCCTATCACTGTAACAGATGCAGCACCTGTCACTGTAGCAGATGCTGCACCTGTCACTGTAGCAGATGCAGCACTTGTCACTGTAGCAGATGCAGCACTTGTCACTGTAGCAGATACAGCACTTGTCACTTTAGCAGGTGCAGCACTTGTCACTGTAGCAGATGCAGCACCTGTCACTGTAGCAGATGCAGCACCTGTCACTGTAGCAGATGCAGCAATTGTCACTGTAGCAGATGCAGCACATGTCACTGTAGAAGATGCAGCACCCGTCACTATAACAGATGCAGCACCCGCCACTATAGCAGAGGAAGCACCCGCCACTATAGCAGAGGAAGCACCTGCTACTGAAATATGTCAAGCGTTTACTGCTGGTATCGAGGCAGCATTTGCTGATACAGCAGGAGCTGTTGATGAAGTCGCGGAAGCACCTGTCGCTGAGGCAAAGGCAGCACCCAATACTGTTGCAGAACTCGCCGTTGAAGCAGAGGCCACTGAAGCAGAGGCCATTGAAGCAGAGGCCACTGAAGCAGAGGCCACCGAAGCAGAGGCCACTGAAGCAGAGGCCACTGAAGCAGAGGCCATTGAAGCAGAGACCACCGAAGCAGAGGCCACCGAAGCAGAGGCCACTGAAGCAGAGGCCACTGAAGCAGAGGCCATTGAAGCAGAGGCCACCGAAGCAGAGGCCACTGAAGCAGAGGCCACTGAAGCAGAGGCCACTGAAGCAGAGGCCACTGAAGCAGAGTCTGGTGCTGCCAATGAAGCAGAAGTGAATGATGTCAAGGCAGCATGTGAAGCAAAGAAAACACCAGCTACTGAGTTAGAAGAGATTGGACTTGCTACCGACATCGAAGCAGCTGAAGAGGGATTAACATCTACAGCAGATGAAGAGAAAGAAGCAGAGTACGTGTCTGTATCTAAACCAGCTTTATCTTTTTTCCAAAGATTTATAAGATTCTTTTTCCGTAGCAAGAGACCAGCGTCGTAGATAAAGTAGTCCGGGGACCATCAGGATTCATCAAGCATTTACGCAACCACTTACAAAAGATGTTCATCTTTCCTCAATCATGGCGCCTTTGTTTACATTTATTAAACAGTTTACGGGCTTGGAAACTTCCCAACCCAAGGTTATTATTGTTATAAACAACCACGTAGCGCTTCGGAGCTCATGAACTAATGTAAACAAAGCCGCCATGACTGAAGAAAGATGTACAGAGTTCTTAAGTGGACACTTAAGTGCGTGATGACGATATGTACAGTGTGTACGAAGTGACCGAGTGATTGTGTATCAGTACCTTCTTGTGGGTATCAGTCTCACAATGTACGGATATTGGATAGAGTGCGACCCATCTTCCAAAACTAACGATACCTACAGCTACTGTGGATGAAATGTACAATATATGAAATTTTGTAACCCAAAAATGTCCACTATTATAATTTAAAAAAACAACAAAAATTGAAGCAGCCTATGACCATAAACCTAAGGCTCCCAAGGCTTAACTAAGCGTTTCTTGGTTTAATATACGCAATCTTATGCGTAATTTAGTAAATATTTGTTTTACATTAAGTTTAGGAAGAGTTAAGTTTGATTGTAGCCATGTTTCTCAGGCCCTCTATAATGTTAATGTTACAAAATGTAGACTGTTTATACTTACAATGTTTCATATTTCGTACATTCCACCCATAGTTGAGTTAATATATTTTTCACCCCACACCCATTCTGTGGGCAGTAGTGGACCCCATACCCATCCTGTGGGCGGTAATGGACCCCACACCCATTCTGTGGGCAGTAGTGGACCCCATACCCATCCTGTGGGCGGTAATGGACCCCACACCCATCCTGTGGGCGGTAGTGGACCCAATACCCATCCTGTGGGCGCTAGTGCACCCCATACCCATCCTGTGGGCAGTAGTGGACCCCATACCCATCCTGTGGGCGGTAGTGGACCCCATACCCATCCTGAGGGCGGTAATGGACCCCACACCCATTCTGTGGGCAGTAGTGGACCCCATACCCATCCTGTGGGCGGTAATGGACCCCACACCCATCCTGTGGGCGGTAGTGGACCCCATACCCATCCTGTGGGCGCTAGTGCACCCCATACCCATCCTGTGGGCAGTAGTGGACCTCATACCCATCCTGTGGGCGGTAGTGGACCCCATACCCATCCTGTGGGCGGTAGTGAACCCCATACCCATCCTGTGGGCGCTAGTGGACCCCATACCCATCCTGTGGGCAGTAGTGGACCCCATACCCATCCTGTGGGCGGTAGTGGACCCCATACCCATCCTGTGGGCGGTAGTGGACCCCATACCCATCCTGTGGGCGGTAGTGGACCCCATACCCATCCTGTGGGCGGTAATGGACCCCACACCCATCCTGTGGGCGCTAGTGGACCCCACACCCATCCTGTGGGCGGTAGTGCAAAAGATTAGACACATAATGTGCTCAGGAAATGAACCCCAAAACTCACTTAATTAGCTAAGCAAGTTAGTCTAAATAAGCCAGTTACACAATTTAATGAATTATATAAACAATGGGTTCGAGAACGACTAAGATAGCCTCTTAAGCTAAGCAATTTACATATGCGGCGAGTTAGATTCATCATTTGATTGGCTTATCATGCACACCATCATTCGCCTATCCATACAGTGGGCAGCGGTGGATAGGTTACAATCACCTACATTTACTGCCGTTAGGCCGTTAATGGAATCATTACACATTATTGTATGAAAATATGTGAATAACACTAATGTTAAATTAGTCTTGATAGTTGACAATGTTCCATCTGTGATGAGTGAATTATCTCTAAATACAATACTTGTATCTTGGTATTTCTTTACTGTTTTGGGAGTGTTTTTCACTACCAGGAATGTGTGTAATATTGTAAATAATAATAAACATTTGTTTATACTTATTTTTTGGGGCTTTTTAACGTTTTATTTAACCTTATTACCAACAATTCCTGTATTATGAATGGCAATGAATATTTCTTCTTTAAAGTGTAATGTAAACTAACATCTTGACCGAACATGAGGGCAGATTATTTATTTATTTATATACAAGAAAGTACATTGGGTTGTGGGAGTACATAACATTGGTGTTTGAGCGTTATGTTCTTGCAAAGCCTATGTTCTTGCAAAGCCTATGTTCTTGCAAAGCCTATGTTCTTGCAAAGCTTATGTTCTTGCAAAGCCTATGTTCTTGCAAAGCCTATATTCTTGCAAAGCCTATATTCATGCAAAGCCTATATGCACGTTAGATTCGTGCATAGCGTTTCGGGCAAGTCCTTAATCTAACTGATAAAAGTATTAATAGGTACGTGGAAGCGGAATTAGAGTTCAACATAATAACTACAATATAAATTAATATTATTGATTATGCTGGTGAAGTTCCATGTCATTAACATAAAACATTTGGTGAGTGGATAGCACATGATACTGTGTGAGTTTGGAGCACAAGGCAAGAAATTGTGAGGATGAAATTAGGTACTTTTCTATTTTACTTTTGAATAAGGCATAGGTTGGACAATTTTTTTAATTCATTAGGGAGTGAGTTCCGTAGACTGGGTCCTTTTAATAATTTTGATTTGCATGGAGTGTTTGTACAGATTTAGTCTAGGGATATGAGATTGTTTTCTGGTGTGTTGGTCATGGGTTCTATTACATCTATCAAGGAAGAGTTTCATATCAGGACTAGCATTTAGGAACAAGGATTTTGTACATGGAAATAGCACAAAGAGAATGTATAGAGTGAATGTATGTTTACCATGTTAGGGATTAAAATAGAAAGAGGGTGTGTGCTGTTATCTGAAGACTATAAGTTTACAGTGAATATACAAAGAAGTGGAATACACCTTGCGCAGAATATATATATATATATATATATATATATATATATATATATATATATATATATATATATATATATATATATATATATATATATATATATATATATACATGTACCTCCAATTTAAATGCCTATGCCTATATTTAAGTGACTACCAGATATGGGTTATCAGTAGAGGTGTGGCGTAAAACGTGTCGTACCGGAGGTGCTGGCAGGCGGCCAGTACGGTCTCCACCCTCGCCATGCTCAGAGCGGCTCCCTCCTTACAGGTCAGATACTTACTTCTCTCTACGCCTTAACTAACATTCATTACCATTACCTGCATGATGAAAGGGATGCCGTGGGCATTGTAAAGGTGTATGTTTGTTGGTAAAGAATAATTTCGTTATGAAAGAAATTAGACTTTAATTGGAGTTTTCACAATAAACAAAGTGACGGGAAGGGGGGGGGGTGAGGTCGTTTCGTACACACGCAACTTTTTTTGTTTAATCTTTATTTTATGAATTACATTTTCTACACATTTTACTCACCTAGTTGTGCTTGCAGGGGTTGAGGTCTGGCTCTTTAGACCCGCCTCTCAATGTGTGTATATTGTGTATTATACGTTAATCATATGCGAATTGACATGCTCTGTAGCGAAATGTACCCGGAGACAGGTTACCTCGTACAGTGTGGGTAGTTAGTGGATTTTAAAATTAACCTTTATCAGCCCCCAGGCAACTGAAGCTCTTCTGTAAAAGTTGTTATCTTAAAGCTCCTCTACTGTAAAGGTTATCATGAAGCTCCTCTACTGTAAAGGTTATCTTGAAGCTCCTCTACTGTAAAGGTTATCTTGAAGCTCCTCTACTGTAAAGGTTATCTTGAAGCTCCTCTACTGTAAAGGTTATCTTGAAGCTCCTCTACTGTAAAGGTTATCTTGAAGCTCCTTACTGTAAAAGTTATCTTGAAGTTCCTCTACTGTAAAAGTTATCTTGAAGCTCCTTACTGTAAAAGTTATCTTGAAGCTCCTTACTGTAAAAGTTATCTTGAAGCTCCTTACTGTAAAAGTTATCTTGAAGCTCCTTACTGTAAAAAGCGTTCTATTAAAATTCCTCTGCTGTAAAGGCTGCTTTATGAATTACATAAAGCGCTTCTGTTGTAAAAGGTGTTCTATTAAAGCCCTTCTGTTGTAAAAATGTTCTGTTAAAGTTCTTCGCCTATAACAGATGTTCTATTAAAACCTTTCTGCTGTAAAGTAAACATAAGGGAGCCATGCATAGTCCAGTGTTACATGTTCTCAACCGAGGAACCCGAGTTCAATTCCCGGGCAGGACAGAAATGGTTGGGCACGTTTCCTTTCACCCGATGCCTCTGTTTACCTAGCAGTAAAATAGGCAACTATTGTGTGGTTGTGTCCTGGGGAGGGTCAGTAGTTCCACCTTGAGGGGGGGGGGACCTAGGCCTAAGTACGAAGTTCCCAGGAAGAAAGGAGAAAGCGCCAAGCCATTACAACTATACAGCTCTGGGAAGGGGTTAGGATAAGGATTTGGTAAGGGACGGGGGAAAGGAATGGTGCCCAACCACTTGGACGGTCGGGGATTGAACACCGACCTGCATGAAGCAAGGTCGTCATTCTGTATGAATTTAGGAAATCAAGATAATATTTTTAGTAAATTGTAGCTATTTTACACAATAATAGTTACAGACCTTATTCCGGTCTTAGGGAGCCGGTCGGCCGAGCGGACAGCACACTGGACTTGTGATCCTGTGGTTCCGGGTTCGATCCCGGGCGCCGGAGAGAAACAATGGGCAGAGTTTCTTTCACCCTATGCCCCTGTTACCTAGCAGTAAAATAGGTACCTGGGTGTTAGTCAGCTGTCACGGGCTGCTTCCTGGGGGTGGAGGCCTGGTCGAGGACCGGGCCTCGGGGACACTAAAGCCCCGAAATCATCTCAAGATAACTCAAGATGACCTTCCGCAGTATGCAACCCACAAGAGTTGCCTAGTAAGTATCAATCTAGAAGACTCATGCATATGTACTTATAATAATAATAATTTTTATTTAGGTAAGGTACATACATAAAGAGATTTTACAAAGTTTGTTGGCTTTATAGATAGAGCTAGTACATACAATGCCTAAAGCCACTATTACGCAAAGCGTTTCGGGCAGAACTTACGTGTATTATGAGCGTGGGAGTGTGTCTACCCAGCCACCTTCAACCTGTCCGAGAGACGAGAACTGGAATAAGGAATCTGAAACCCTGGCTCCTTCATCACGTTACCTTGAGCGTCTGCTGTTACCGTAGTCGATGTGGTCCAATCGTTAATTTGTTGCAGTCTATATGAAAACGTTTAGAATATAATGGGATGTGCACTGTTTCTTTAGCTGGAATGATAAAGCAACCGTGTAATAAATTGCAATGATGCTTTAGTAATGTTCGGAAATAAGCTGCCAAAAATATATATATATTTTGGGGGGCTGACCTCACTTATTTGACTTTCTTACAATCACAGTCTTTCCAAATTGCTTACAGATAGTGCTTGAAGATCAATTTTAGCCTCTAAAATTGGTTACCAGAAACGAAGAAGTTATTGTACACGCTCACGCATTCAGGTTAAGTTTTGTTGGATTTGACTAGCAACTGGGTGGGTGACCGCGTGGATGCAGCCTCGCCCTTTGCAGCCACAGTGCATATACTGAATCCGTCACCCCGTATATTAAATAATTATTATACAAAGGAAATCTCATTTTGTATCAGTCATGTAGCCTACACACGTCAAAATTAAGTATTATAGTAGTACTGTTTAAGGACAGTATGTAAAACGACTAAAGTGATTATGTATATTTGACACGAGGATATTGTATAGCACTTCAACACAATAAGTGTCCGAATGCAATTCAAGTCACTATGTGGTTTAAATTGCATTGGACACATTTCACGAACCCATCATGTGACTAACGTCAATTTCCGGCGCTGGCCACATGATGGGTAGGCTATCCAACTCATCCTCATGAGCATTCCTAACGCTCGGGAGGATGTTTAATGACGTTCCTAACGTCATTAAACTGATGTACTGTACTAAATTCCGCGAGGGCTATGGGGTCCATAATAAATTAGAAAACGTTTTCATCGTCACATGGCGGGGATAACATGTAAGCCTAGATATCACCGTATATGTGAGTGTTCAGGTAAGCTACGGTGGTTTGTGCTAACACCACCAAAATGGACTCCTAGTTCAACCTTGACGACGGGCGGACGTCTGGACACCTGCTGCGCCTGGGGCCGCCGGATCACGTTCTGTTATGCAGTTTTATCCCATAGGGTTTTGGAACTGCCGTCTGGCAGATCAACGGTCCGGATTGTTACGACGGTCTGGCGCATTTATCAGTCACTTTTTTCCTTGGGTTACAAGAAAGGTGGATAGATTTTGATCGTTTTCTGAGTGGTTTTTCCGGCTGGGAGACAGTTTCTGGCGCTGGCTTGGCAGAGAGGTGCCGGTAGTTGACGTGTCTTCCTCAGCTGCTGGCTTCTGCTCTGTCGGGGGGCACTGGAAGACTGCGTTTTAGGAGGGGCTGTGTTACAAATCAACAAGGGCCGTGATGAGGATTCGAACCTGCGTCCGGGAGCATCCCAGACACTGCCTTAATCGACTCAGCTACGACGATTTGTTCATTTGATGCATCACGTTAGTGTGATCTCTGTGTGTAAAGAGGGGCTGTGTTTTTACTTTGACTATACCTAGTGTTCTCTGTGTGGGTTGGGGGAGGGGGGAGTTCTTGCCTCCCTGAGGGACTCCTGGGGCTTCCCAGGCATCTGCCCATCAGTGTGTTTATTCACAGCCAGGCGTATTCGCACCGCCGACAGGCAACGTTCATTTTGCCATCTGGCTTTGTGATTTACCCTTCAATAGTACGCCGGGGGACATACGGCCCCTCTGCCGTCGCGGTCCATAAACCAGCAACAGCAAAATACTGACGTTTAGGCCTCTCGTGTAGGGTACTCTCGTGTAGGGTATAGGCCGAGGAGAGCCGCCGGTGAGGGTATCATCCGTTACTCGCCTTATGTTGAATTATTCTTGAGGGATGTCACGACCATGCTGGCGGGTCTTCACCTTACGTTGGTTCCAAGGATCAACATCCTCGCGGCCCGGTCTCTAGACTTAACACGCTCTCTAGAAACTTAAAAAAAAAGACAAATTACGACTCATTTGAATGGAAGGTCCATTAAACAACTGGGTTTCAACCATTCAGAAATAGCTATTTGTTATACTCATTTCACTGAAATGTGTAAATATCTTCTAAATTTACACACAATTTGTCGATCATTTTCATCAAAAATTATATATTGCCCTAAAGTTTTAGCTGTCCCAAGTTTGCGTACTGTAGGTAGTGAAAGTACTACCAACACTGTGACTAACCACCTTCACCGTTGCCCACGGGAAGGTGGCTGCCCTGTTACTGACTCACATTTCTCAGCTCTGTTACCGTTAGGCTGGGGAACAACGCCAGCACTTCCCGCCCTGCACAATAAACCAGTCGCCGATGGCAGCAACTATCGTATCTTAACAAGGGATAACAAGATAACTTAACAAGATAACTTTAACCACCTGATTATTACCACGACTTTAACCATCTGATTACGACCACGACTTAAACCACCAGACTATGATCAGGACTTTAACCACCAGATTATGACCATGACTAACCACCACCAGATTATGACCACGACTTTAACCACCTGATTATGACCATGACTTTAACCACCAGATTATGGCCACGACTTTAACCACCTGATTATGACCATGACTTTAACCACCAGACTATGACCATGACTTTAACCACCAGATTATGACCACGACTTTAACCACCAGATTATGACCATGACTTTAACCACCAGATTATGGCCACAACTTTAACCACCAGACTATGACCATGACTTTAACCACCAGATTATGACCATGACTTTAACCACCAGATTATGACCACGACTTTAACCACCAGATTATGACCATGACTTTAACCACCAGATTATGACCACGACTTTAACCGTCTGATTACGACCACGACTTAAACCACCAGATTATGACCACGACTTTATCCACCTGATTATGCCCATGACTTTAACCACCAGATTATGGCCACGACTTTAACCACCAGCATATGGCCATGACTTTAACCACCAGATTATGACCACGACTTTAACCACCAGATTATGGCCATGACTTTAACCACCAGATTATGACCACGACTTTAACCACCAGAGTATGACCACGACTTTAACCACCAGCTGATGACCACGACTTTAACCACCAGCATATGGCCATGACTTTAACCACCAGATTATGACCACGACTTTAACCACCAGATTATGACCATGACTTTAACCACCAGATTATGACCACGATTTTAACCACCAGATTATGGCCATGACTTTAACCACCAGATTATGACCACGACTTTAACCACCAGATTATGACCATGACTTTAACCACCAGATTATGACCACGACTTTAACCACCAGATTATGGCCATGACTTTAACCACCAGATTATGACCACGACTTTAACCACCAGAGTATGACCACGACTTTAACCACCAGCTGATGACCACGACTTTAACCACCAGCTGATGACCACGACTTTAACCACCAGCTGATGACCACGACTTTAACCACCAGATTATGACCACGACTTTAACCACCAGCTGATGACCACGACTTTAACCACCAGCTGATGACCACGACTTTAACCACCAGATTATGGCCATGACTTTAACCACCAGATTATGACCAAGGACTTTAAACCACGTTTGTTAGTCGTTATCACGTGACTGGTCAAAGATTACTGATACAGCCAATAACACGTGAGTACAAGGTTAACAATGTTCTCACGTAAGAACTCTTGTAATATGTAAAATTAAATAAAAATGATGAAACGTGTTTGTTAAATGACCAGTAATACCACACGGTTCATCTGTCGTTGAATACATCTTTAGTATACTTTTAATAAATTTTTTTTTTGAGATATATACAAGAGTTGTTACAAAATTTATACTCATTGGTTCGGAGCACTTATACGTGTAACATAGTCTAGCTGTGTATAGGGTCTAGTGCAACGATAATTGTACGTGATCGTAACTGGAAATATTGGAAACGTTTCAGGTACTGCATGAAACGTTAATTTACCATGTTAAGGAAAATTAACGTTTCCAATATTTAAGTTGTTTATTTGTTTCGGTCGATAATGAAAATGGATTTGTTTTATAGTTGAAATTGAAATAAGTTTATTGAGGTAAAATACACACAAAGGGATGAGGTAGCTCAAGCTATTCTCAGCCCGAACAATAGTGACATTGTGCTATCTTGTGGAGTACCTCCTTCCCCAGAAGGATCCAAAACTTATGCAGGACTTAAAATTATGAGGTCATAGTGATGTGTACTACGTTGGGTTGGGTTAAATTAGGTTTAAAGAGTAGCTGTGACGTAGGTGAAACTTTTTTATCAGGTCTTTAACCCAATCATAGGGGAGTCGGGATTGGAGGGTGTGGCTAGATGACTGGAATGAGACCACATAGCAGGGACTCCGTATTAGAGGTAATTGTAATGGCCCATTTGGTCACGCTCACGGCCAGACAAACATCATCTTGGTAAAAGTTATCACAAGCGACTTGTTATAACTTTTACCAAATATTTACAAACGTATGTAATTTCTGATATTCTAATACAAAGAAATAATGATATATATAAACACTCATCATTTTCATCAATGCAAGTGGAGGCAATGAGTATTAACACGATGCTTATTGATCCTGCACTTCTAATGACTGGAATACTGTATATTTACCTAAATTTACCTGAGGGTGACCCACACTAGTGGCCTCGATGAGGATAGGAAGCCGGCGGCTTGTCAAAGGTCCCCCCATTTACCATGACACACACACACACACACACACATATATATATATATATATATATATATATATATATATATATATAACTGAAAACTCACACCCCAGAAGTGACTCGAACCCATACTCCCAGAAGCAACGCAACTGGTATGTACAAGACGCCTTAATCCACTTGACCATCACGACCGGACAAAATGAGGTGATAGCCGAGGCTATTTGAACCACCCCACCGCCGGCACTCGGATAGTAATCGTGGGCATAGCATTTTACCACTTCTGGGGTGTGAGTTTTCAGTTGCATATTGTCCTGGGGACCATTCAGGCTTGTTCGCATATATATATATATATATATATATATATATATATATATATATATATATATATATATATATATGCCCTGACCCCTGATATATATAAATAATCACTATTACTAATCCAAAAAATAACGTTATACTATCCCATTTTTCCTTAAAATATCCAACGTGTTGGTTTTCCCCTGGAATCTCTGGTCTATAATTATTACTCGACTATTTATCCTATTTAGCTATATTATAAACATATTTTGCACTTTCCATGACCTAATTTAAAATATATATAGCATAATTATCAATTGCTAGTTTATATGCGTTCTTTATATGGAAATATAAGTTGTTAATTTTTATTTTCCTTTTTTTAGCAACATGGGCGAAGTGTGTCAGCTTTTGGAAGAATCACGCTGGGATGCTTTAAAGGAAGACTTGTCCCTCCTGGTTATATTCCCGCAATTTCTAATCTCTCCCCCTTGTTCCATGAACATCAAATTCACACCACTGTACCAGCGCCTGATAAAAAATGGAAGAACAAACTTCCAAAACCAACCCTAACTAAACGAGAACCATCTCTGGAAGTAAAGAAGGCAGCCGCCAAAGTTGCTGGATGGAAGGAATCGTGGGATATCAAGAAGAACTCTGTCAGTGTAGACACGGCCATCTCCGCTGCCGATGGCATACGTGGCAATGTAGGTTCAAAACTGACAAGCCAATCGACATCATATGCTTCGGAGGATGTAGCAACTACAAAGCTTTCAGCAGGGCTTAAAGGCGCCACTTTAACAGATATTATTCGTGCTCGGCCAGAAATACTAAAACCAGCAGCAAAGGAACCTTCTTCGTCTGATTCCAACTCTTCGTCATCTGATTCAAGCTCTTCGTCGTCTGATTCTGAATTATCTTCATCCGAATCAGCAGCCAAACCAGCTGCTGAAGCTGCCAAACCAGCTGCTGAAGCTGCCAAACCAGCTGCTGAAGCTGCCAAACCAGCTGCTGGAACTGTCAAACCAGCTGCTGAAGCTGCCAAACCAGCTGCTGAAGCTACCAAACCAGCTGCTTCAGTAGCCAACCCAGCTGTTGAAGCTGTCAAACCACTTGCTGAAGCTGCGAAACCAGTTGATAAACCTGATACAACCAAGCCATCTGCTGAAGCTATCAAACCACCTGCAGGAGCTGTCAAACCAGCTGCTGAAGCTGTCAAACCAGCTGCTGAAGCTGCCAAACCAGCTGCGGAAGCTACCAAACCAGCTGCTGAAGCTACCAAACCAGCTGCTGAAACTGCCAAACCAGCTGCTGAAGCTGCCAAACCAGCTGCTGGAGCTGCCAAACCAGTTGCTGAAGCTGCCAAGCCATCTGCTGAAGCTGTCAAACCACCTGCAGGAGCTGTCAAACCACCTGCAGGAGATGTCAAACCAGCTGCTGAAGCTGTCAAACCACCTGCAGGAAATGTCAAACCAGCTGCTGAAGCTGTCAAAACACCTGCTGAAGTTGTCAAACCAGCTGCTGAAGTTGTCAAACCAGCTGCTGAAACTGCCAAACCAGTTGCTGAAGCTGCCAAACCAGTTGCCGAAGCTGCCAAACCAGCTGCTGAAGCTGCCAAACCAGTTGCTTCATCAGCCAAACCAGCTGCTGAAGCTGCCAAATCAGCTGCTGAAGCTGCCAAATCAGCTGCTGAAGCTACCAAACCAGCTGCTGAAGCTGCCAAATCAGCTGCTGAAGCTACCAAACCAGCTGCCAAATCAGCTGCTGAAGCTACCAAACCAGCTGCCAAATCAGCTGCTGAAGCTACCAAACCAGCTGCTGAAGCTGCCAAATCAGCTGCTGAAGCTACCAAACCAGCTTCTTTATCTGCTGAAGCTGCCAAACCAACTTCTGTAGCTGCCGAAGCTACCAAACCAGCTGCTGTAGCTGCTGAAACTGCCAAACCAGCTTCTTTATCTGCTGAAGCTACCAAGCCAGCTTCTGTAGCTGCTGACGCTCCCAAACCAGCTGCTGAAGCTGCCAAACCAGCTGCTGTAGCTGTTAAACCAGTTGCTGAAGCTGCCAAACCAGCTGTGGGAGCTGCCAAACCAGCTGTGGAAGCTGCCAAGCCAGCTGTGGAAGCTGCCAAACCATCTGTGGGAGCTGCCGAACTAGCTGCTAAAGCTGTTGAAGGAGCATCAGCTAAATCATCTGCTGAAGCTACCAAACCAGTTGCTAAACCTGTGACAACCAAACCATCCACTGAAGCTGTGAAACTTGGTGCTTCAGCAGCCAAACCAGCTGTTGAAGCTGCCAAACCAGCTGCTTCAGCAGCCAAACCAGATGTTTCAGCAGCCAAACCAGCTGCTGAAGCAGCCAAACCAGATGTTTCAGCAACCAAACCAGCTGTTGAAGCTGCCAAACCGGCTAAACCAGCTCCTTCAGCAGCCAAACCAGCTGCTGGAGCTGCATCAGCCAAGCCAGCTGCTGAAGCTGCATCAGCCAAGCCAGCTGCTGAAGCTGCAGCAGCCAAACCAGCTGCAGCCAAGCCAGCCCCTGAAGCTGCAGCAGTGAAGACAGTCACAGACGTTGCAACAGCCAAGACATCCTCTGAAGCTGTGGCAGCCAAGCCAGTTGGCGAAATTACAACAGAAACAATATCTAAAGGTGCAACAATAAAACCAATTATTGGAACAGTGAGGGAACAGGTTGTTGAAGCTTCACCCAAAACAGTTACTGAACATGTAGCAGGAAAACCAGCTGTTGAAGCTGCAGTACCAGCCAAAGGAGCCGCATCATCAATTCTGCCGGCATATACCACTAAAGTGGAGCCAATTCAAGATTCATCACCAGAATCCAATGTTGAAGCTGTACAAGAAAGTGCTGTTGGAACTAAATCGGCAGTAAGAGAATTAGCTGAAACGGCAGAAAAACCCATTGACACATTAGTAGAACTAAATACCAAAGATTCTGATATAAATATGGAAATTGCTAGTGCCCCTCTTGAGGTAGGAGCTGTTCCATCTACTGCAGCTTCTGGTGAATTGACATCGACAACAATCAGTGACGAAGGTAAATTTGCACTGGTTTTACACCTTTTCCTATTTCTACATAAGATAGGGAATACTTTATTAAGTTCTCTAAAACCCAAACTTCAGTAATCATCTCGTGAAATATTTATCTGTGCAGTATAATCTAATATTGTATCTTTCAGGGGTTGGATTACTGGGAGTAGGAAATGTCACGGCAGTGATTGGAGCCGTAGTAGATGTTCTGTTCAAGGGAAACCTTCCTCCAATTCTCAATGCTCTTGAAGTACAGAATAGACAACCTCGCCTTGTCTTGGAAGTAGCTCAACATCTTGGTAAGTTCCTGATATCCTTTTTTTTTCCACAAATATTGAGAAAATGAGTGTGTGTACATATTCAGCATAGTAGAGTATACTAAACATAATGATTTAAAGGTTTTGACTTGACATAAATCTTGAAATAATGTAAACAAAATTTGGAGAAAAATATACACCATACTCATCTCGGGAAGAGTAGTGGAAATAATTACAAAAATGCATAATGGGCTCATGAATTAAAATTATTCGAGCTAAAATTAATCGAGCCAATCAAGTTTCAGCACTGATCAATTAGTTACATAGTTTACCATCATAAATAAACCAACAATATCTACACAGTTTTAGCAAACTTAACATTACTGTGACCTCAACAGGCCCTGACACAGAGTAAGAGTTTGTTAGTCGAGACATTTACATATAATTTTAATTTGGCACGCATGCATGACACACATCCGGTAGGCAGCACTGGAAAGGTTGCAATTATGTGATTACACTACTTGTGATAGTTAGCAAACTTGGAATAATTGCCTGAGATTTCTGGCAGTTGATGATTTTGGATGACATGCACATTTCTTAAATTTGTGATAATTATTTCCAAATTCTTTAATTTGTTTACCTACCATCAGTAATGATGGGTATGCAAATAATGAATGAAGTAGAAGTTAGATTTATGATATTCTATGTACAGTGGATTCTCCAATACTGTATTCAGGTCAGATTACTCTGGACACAGTCCAGTTATTCTCACTAATCTGGCTTCTTTCCCACACCATCATTTCTTCAATCCTATGTTTCACTACTAGTTCCCTCTCCTAGAACTTGCAAAATAAACATAGGAAAAGCTGATGAAAGCCAAAACATTATGTATCCAGTAACATCTGGCCATATTTTGTTTATATTAAAATTACGTTCAATATTTTAAATTACTGTATCCATTAGCATAGTTTTTCATTATCTGTTTGTTAATTCGAGGAGGAAATGTTACTGATTCTCTGTATATCAGTACAGTATATACAGTCTTACCTTAGGTGGAATCTCAAGGTAACCTCAAGGTAACCTCAAGGTAGGTAACCTTATCAGATTCTGCAGCACAGTGGGCACCATGGTGTGTTCTCATTTGAAAAGTTTCAGGGTTAAATTCCTACTCAGAACAGAGACATTTGGGCACATTTCTTTTTACTTGATGCCTCTGTTCACCTAGCAGTAAATAGGTACCCAGAAGTTATGCAACTGTTGTAGAGTTGCATCCTGGGGAAGGTCAGTCATTGGCCTAGTGGGACTAAGCCTAACACGTTTCTTTCTGATCTGATGGTTTTGGGAAATCATTATTTAAATGATTGTGCAGGTGATTGTTCAATTAAATATTTTCAAGAAACAAATACAAATACAAATATTTATTCAGGTAAAGTACATACATACAAGGTGAGATACAAAGAGTTATCACGTGAAGTTTCCTGAAGTTTTTAACATTTAGGTGTTATGGTCTTCACAGGAGGAAACACAGTGCGTACTATTGCTATGGATGGAACAGAAGGTCTTGTCCGTGGACAATCTGTCACCGATACAGGAGGACCAATTTCCATCCCAGTTGGCCCAGCAACCTTGGGCAGGATCATTAATGTCATTGGTATGTAAAAATAGTTAAGGAAATGTATAGAGTACTTATTTATATTGAAGCCTTTATTTTCATCATAGAGACAATAATTAAAATAATAATAATATTAAAGTCCAGTAAATATATAGTTTGTTTAGGTGGAATACATTTTTACAAAGCTCATTGATTCATACAGGATTTAATTCAAGCCTTATGGATAACAAAATGATTTTGTGTGAAGATCAATTGTGGGTTTATATAATAAATCATATGTTAGTAATACTAGAATTAGAGTGAACATTAATTAGGCAAAGTTTTAGTATTGGAGTGAACAGAGTTTCAATCAGAAAAAGCTGTACTATATATATTTTTATTACTCTACATAGAAGTACAGTAATTCTAAGAGATTGCCTCTTATGTTCTTTGTATACACATTGATTGATTGATTTATGCATATTTATTTATTTATTTATGCATATACAAGAATGTACATAAGGAATGTGAGGATACAATTATGGTAATTACAGTCTTGTAAAGCCACTAGCACGCGCAGCGTTTCGGGCAGGTCCTTAATCTAAGAAAATTTTAAGGAGGTAAATACTTGCAAAATTTATAGACAAAAAAAATGATAACAGATTACATGGAATGGAAAAAAAAAAAGATGAGAGAAAATTATAGGTACAGTATATTAAAGCACATAGGTAGCTATGATTGATTGCAATGACAGCTTAAAATGGTAGTTGACAACAAATTGGTAGGCACAATACAGCAGAAACAATATAAGATTGATTGCAATGACAGCTTGAATGGTAGTTGACAAAAATTGGTAGTCACAATACAGCATATGGCTAGCACATAAAAGAAGACAGCAATGAACACAATGATAAGGTTGTTTGATATTACATAAAAATTAGGAGATTGGGTACCACTAGGTACAGAGCAAATTTAAAGCTCAGTGTAGGAAACTAAATAGATGAAGTTAGGTACTTTTTGGTTTTGCTTTTAAATAAGGCAAAAGTTTTACAGTTTTTCAATTCACTAGGGAGTGAGTTCCATAGACTAGGTCCCTTAATTTGCATAGAGTGTTTACACAGATTAAGTTTGACCCTGGGGATATCAAAGAGATATTTATTTCTGGTGTGGTGATAATGGGTCCTATTACATCTGTCCAGGGAGAGTTTCAGAGCATGGTTTGCATTTAAGAACAGGGTTTTGTAAATGTAGTTGACACAAGAGAATGTGTGGAGGGAGTTAATATTTAGCAAGTTTAGAGATTTAAACAAGGGAGCTGAGTGTTGTCTGAAAGCAGAGTTAGTTATTATTCTGATAGCAGATTTTTGCTGTGTGATGATGGGCTTAAGGTGGTTTGCAGTGGTAGACCCCCATGCACAGATACCATAATTAAGATAGGGGTAGATTAGTGCATAATATAGTGAGAGGAGAGCAGAGTTAGGAACATAATATCTGATTTTGGAGAGTATACCAACTGTCTTAGAGACTTTCTTAGTTATGTGTTGAATGTGGGTGCTGAAATTGAGTCTCTTGTCTAGGAATAGGCCAAGAAACTTGCCATCATTTTTATTACTGATGTTAATGTTGTCTGTCTGTAGCTGAATTGCATTTGATGATTTGCTTCCAAATAAGATGTAGTAAGTCTTTTCGATGTTTAATGTTAGTTTGTTCGTTGACATCCATAAGTGGACTTTTTTTAATTCATTATTCACAACATTATTTAGTGTATGTGGGTTGAGGTTTGAGTAGATAAGGGTAGTATCGTCAGCAAACAATATAGGTTTGAGAATATTAGAGACATTAGGCAGATCGTTTATATATATAAGAAATAGAAGAGGTCCTAAGATGCTGCCCTGTGGCACTCCAACGGTAATTGGTAGAGTGGAAGAAGTTGTATCATTGATGGTTACATATTGGTGTCTGTCACTAAGATAGGATCGGATGTAGTCAAGGGCAAGGCCTCGGATTCCATAATGCTGGAGTTTAAATAAGAGGTAGTTGTGATTAACAGTATCAAAGGCTTTTCTTAGGTCAATGAAGAGTCCAATCGGAAACTCATTTTTGTCAAGGGCTGAGTAGATAATGTCAAGGAGACTAATGATTGCATCATTGGTACTCTTTTGGGACCGGAAGCCAAACTGGCAGGGGCTGAGTATGTCGAATTTTACGAGGTAGGAATAGAGCTGTTTGTAAATAATTTTTTCAAATATTTTTGATAGAATGGGTAGATTTGATATTGGTCTATAATTGTTTATGTCCGCCGGATTGCCTCCTTTATGGACTGGCGTTACTCTTGCTTTTTTGAGGATATCAGGGAAGGTGTGATACTCTATAGATTTGTTGAACAGTAGTGCTATGGGTGGGGCAAGGGCATGGGAGGCTCTCTTGTACACAATGGACGGAATTTCACTGGTGTTCCCTGCCTTGGTTTTTAGAGAGTGTATGATGGACACAACATCTGCCGGGCTGATTGGTGAAAGGAGAAGAGAGTTTGGATAGCTGCCTGAGAGATATGTGTTAATATGTGTCTGAGTCTGTGGGATTTTACTGGCAAGATTAGCACCAACCGATGAAAAGAAACTATTAAATTCATTTGCCATTTCTAAATCAGTTGACGGTATATCCCCATCCTTGTAGAGTTTTATTTGGTTATGTGAGTGTTGTTTAGTTCCTAGGATACTAGAGATAGTTTTCCAAGTGTTTTTCATGTTACCTTTTGCTTCATTGAATCTATTCACATAATATGCAAGTTTTGCCTTTCTTATGATACTGGTAAGCATTGATGAGTACCTTTTAGCTACTTCCCTTGAAACTAGGCCAATCCTAACTTTCTTTTCATATTCATGTTTCTTGTTGATTGAGTTGAGAATGCCATTTGTGAGCCATGGATTGTTTAATCTTTTGTCAGTTATTTGCTTTGTAAGAAGGGGACAATGAAGGTTGTAGAGGCTTAGAGTTTTGGAGAGGAAGAGGTTAGCTAATGAATTTATATCATGGGTATTATTGAATTCAGAATCCCAGTTAATATTGTGAAGTGCCTCTGTAAGATTGTCTAAAGCTGATTCACTGTGTAGCCTAAATGAAAATTTCTTGCTTTTTGGTGGTGTTATGTCCATGTTCGCTATGAGAAAGGTAGGATAGTGGTCAGTTGTTCTGTCGTAGATTATATCAGATACAAGGGGAGCTGTTATGTTTGTCCATATGTGGTCCAAGGTAGTGGCTGATGTTTGAGTGACTCGGGTAGGTTCGGTGATAGTGGGGATTAGCATACAGGAGTTCATGCTGTTAAGGAAATAGTCAACTTGAGAGCAGTTTTGTTGACCCAGGTCAATATTAAAGTCTCCTCCCAGAATGATGTGGTTTTTGTTGAGATTGTTGTTTATAATAAGATTCCTTAGGTTGTCTGAGAAAGAAGCTATGTTAGTATTAGGAAATCTATAGATGGCTCCAATAGTCAAAGAGGATTTAAGGGATTTAAGGGATTGATTGTTTGTCAATCAAAAATAGAAGGTCAGATAATTGGGATAATTACAGACAATTGTAAATCAGATAAAGATTTACACTGAATCTGTGTAAACTATGCAAATAAAGGGACATAGTCTATGTAACACACTTTCAATGGTTCATAATACATTTTCTGAGAGATAGAGAGGGAGAGGGAGAGATAAGGAGAGGAGAGGAAAAGTGTGGAGAGGGGGAGGTGTTTGAGGAAAGGGAAGGAGAGGGGTGAGAGGAATGGAGGGGGAGGCAAGTGGAGAGGGGGAGAGGGTACGAGAGAGGGAAGGGGGAGGTGGGAGAGAGATCCTGGTTGATACCTGGTTGATGGGGTTCTGGGAGTTCTTCTACTCCCCAAGCCCGGCCTGGGGCCAGGCTCGACTTGTGAGAGGGCCTGGCCCGAGGCCAGGCTCGACTTGATCCAGGCAAGCCAGGTACAGTACCTATCTAGTACTGCATATATTTGTTAAGTTTTTTGAAGTACTGTCACTTTAAATATAGAATTTCCACTTGCAGGAGAACCAATTGATGAGCGAGGTCCTATGGGCACAACAGAACACGCTGCCATCCATGCTGATGCGCCCAAGTTCGAGGAAATGAGCGTAGAGCAGGAAATTTTGGTGACAGGAATAAAGGTTGTTGACATGTTGGCTCCATACTCAAAAGGTGGAAAGATAGGTAATTATTTTATCTGTTCATTTTCATTTTGACATTATTGTTGTTCAATAGTAATTGGCTGGTTTTTAATAAAGGACTGTGATTATGACTTTGAGTAATTATATCTTACTGTAACAACCTGTCCTCTGAGCTGTCTATACCTATAAATGTAACCTATAAATGTAAACCTATAAATGTAAACCTATAAATGTAAACTAACCTATAAATGTAAATTTTTTAATGTTCTGAGCTGTACCTTAAATTAATTCACATTCTTAGTGTGTTTGTGCTGCTTCTAAGGAAAATACACATTCTAAAGGTAGGTAGACTTGGATTTTGTTCTTATTAATTTACTATGGGAATGGATTACTCAATGGAAGTTCAACACTGTGATAAGAAGCATTCCAGGACTGAGTCACTGCTCATACCATGAATGATTGAGGGCCTTGGGACTAACTACTACAAATTTCTATTAATTACAACTAATTACTACAGCGTTTCTGCCCAAAACGCAGCACGTACTAGTGGCTTTACAAGATTGTAAATACTATGCTATGTATTCTCTCAAACCCAATGTACCTTCTTGTAAATAAATAAATAAATAAATAAATAAATAAATAAATAAATAAATAAATTAGGCATGACAGGGCTGATCTCACTGAGATCTTTAAAATACTGAACAAAATGAAAGATATTATTCCAGACCAATTCTTTACAATATCCAGTATAATGCACAAAAGAGGAAAAAGCTTCAAACTCAACAAACCACAATGCTGGACAAAAAATTAGAAATGTTTTTTCACCCAAAGGGCAATAAATACATGGAATTCCCTACATACCAAAGCTGTAAATAATAATAATAATAATAATACTGTACCATACTCTAGTGTATCCACATCATAACATGAGATTGATGAGTGTGAAGATCAACCGTTCAGACCTTCTGCAAGGTGTGTGTATGAGGCATTTGGTTTGAGTGTGTGAGGCTGGCATACTGTAAGTAAAGTACTCTGTTTTTTGTGTTTTTGTCTATCTTTGCACAGATCCAATGATCAACTAGAGTTACTCACCTTGCTACACACCCACAACAGGTACGTGTTTGAGTTAGACAGATTTGACAGTGAAAAAGTTATTATCTGTGAGGTGTCATAATTTTTCCACCTATCACCACCCACCTGTAAGGTGTCATGATTCTTCCACCACTATGGGTGAAAACACATCTCCGGTTCTCTGTCCTACAATGAGGCTTGTTGAACTTGAAACCATTGCTCCTTGTTTGTGTTACATCTGACCTTTTGAAGAAATTGTCCAGATCAACATCAGGGTCATCTGACTTGTTCATCATTTTAAGTTTCAGTGAGATCTGCCCTGTCATGCCTGGTTTGCAGTGTTGTTAGCCCTGTGGCCATCAACCGTTCCTGATATGAGAGATGACTTGGTTCTGGAATGACTTTTATTGCCTGGTATTGCACTTTCTGCAGAATAGCTGTCTTTCTGAAAATGAGGTCTCCATGCTTTTATACAATAATCCAAATGGATGCACCAGTGATACAGTTGAATCACTACCTCCTTTTTCTTAAAGTCAGAGGTACGCTTGATTAGTAACGATTAAAAACAATGATTACTGTTAGGATAATTTACCCAATGCCTTACTGCATTATCGCCCAAATACAGTATTATTTAATCCTTAGACAGCAGTTATCATCAATTGTTGATTCACAGGGTAATGCGGTTATCATCATATGAAGATTTGAAAAATGATTGTTTCGGGTTTCATGTATTTTGCAAATATGGGTATACTGTAATAGATCTATGTGGGTGCAATGGAATTTACCTTGACCCCATGAACAAATCCTGCTACTATTTCATTGTACAAATGTGGTTATCTTCAAGAATGTTACTTGGAGAATGTGGTCATCTGATGATGATGTAAACAATTATTGTTTGGATTTTACATGTGGGATGCAAATATGGATATAAGAGTTCTCTCTGGATTTAAATAAAGAACAACAAGTGATAAAACAATCAGTGAAACATGAGAGAATAAATCAGGAAGCGCCAGTTGAATTGAGCACCAGGTGTTGACAAGTGTCAGACGCAGACTTACACAGCGTTTCCACCCAGTGAAACGATAAACATTCCTTTATTTTTGTGTTTTCTTATATATTCTGCATACAAATTAATAATTCTATGATGAAATTATATTTTGGATTTTTTTTTTAAATTGTGCATGGTATGACCATTTCTCCATAGCTGCTGTCTAAGGGTTCCCTTAGACAGCTGTTTCTGTTTCATATATTTTCCTCCTTTGTTTGATCTGTACATGTTGAATGCTATATGACACGTGAAGAAAATTATGATGTGATGTCCATTGGCAGGAAAGTGACCATATTTTCTGGCATCCTAGTTTACGAGGTTATTTTTTGGATTTTTTTTTTTAGTACAGTATTTACCTGAATTTACTAAAGGCCACTCTCTAGTGACCTTGATGGGGACAGGAAGCTGGCAGCTAATCAAAGGTTCCTTATATGTTTCATCAAACATTTATTGAAACTGATTTTCAAGTGGATTTGTAGGGGAAAATGTGATAGTGTGCATGTAAATACTGTATACAATTTGGTTGGTGACGGACCTAAAACTTGCATTGTATTCACTTGAAAATATGGTAGTTTATTGGGAAATGAGCTTGCCAGTTTCAGTATTTTGCAGTTTATGACTTTCAGGATTGTTTGGTGGTGCTGGTGTGGGTAAGACTGTACTTATTATGGAACTTATCAATAACGTGGCCAAGGCTCATGGTGGCTACTCGGTGTTTGCTGGTGTTGGTGAAAGAACTCGAGAGGGCAATGATCTTTATCATGAAATGATCGAGTCTGGTGTAATTTCTCTCACAGATGAGACTTCCAAGGTAAGAAATAAATTGTAAACAAAATATTACAGGGATAAATAGCAATACTGTTCATGCATTCAAAATACAAATGCAGTTCATTTGTTATGTTTGATATTTATGCCAGAAGTGCATTTGCATTTTAATTGTCTTAATGTGCTTCTTTCCTGGAGTTCTCGTCTATTTACTTCAGACTAATTTGTACAATGATGACCAGACTTCTTTTAAGGTCAGTGTTTGATCCCTGATAGTCTAAGTAGGTGGGCATTATTCCTTTGCTCTGCCCTTGTATCCTTTACAAGTTAGTATACAGTAGTTGTATTGGTATTAGTACTTTCTCTTAATAATCACTTTGATTACTGTATTGAGCATTCTTAACTTTTACTTTTACATGTTCACCTCTTGTTTAGTCACAGCAAGAAGCAACTGTTTAAATTTTGTAATTTGCCATATGGTAAAATATATTAAAATAATAATAAATATATTATCATTACCCCATTCTTGCTTGTGTGGGGTTGGGAGAGGCCTCAGCCCCATGACAAGGAGAGCAAGGTCAGAAGAGCTTTAAATTTTTATTAACTCTGTCGTTCATTTTGGTCTGGGTTGAGGATTCTATAGAAAAACTAGTATTGTGCCTACAATAACCTTAGAGGGACCATTTCGAAAGTTTTCTGTGGTGTCAGTGCTGCTATGCCATCCTGCCTGACTACACAATCCTCTTCAAGGACTCTGGGGGATCTTTCCTTAGAGGGAAGCACCCAAATAATCTGCTCAGAAAAGGTAGTTTTCATATTCACTCAGGTTTTATTTTTTTTCATCAGTATTTACCACTAAAGGCATAACAAGTGTACAAATAATTGTGAAAAATATGATCACCGAGTTTTCTGATGCAAAGACGACCTGAATTTGTTATGCAGTTTGTGTCCCTCAGGTCTGGACTGAGACATTTTTTTGGTAACCATTCTTTTCAAAATTTTTAAGTTTCATTAAATTAAAGTTTTATTTGTTGATATTTCACTGTGCAGTACAGTATGTGTCAATGCTATCACCTACAATACAATACAGTTAAAATAGAGTATCTAGAAACTGGTATACAAATTAGATTTCTTAATTCTACTTAACAAAATAATTTTAGAAATGACATTGACTATGATACATACCTTCCAGGTAGCTCTGGTGTATGGGCAGATGAACGAACCACCAGGTGCTCGCGCTCGTGTGGCTCTCACAGGACTTACAGTTGCCGAGTATTTCAGAGACAAAGAAGGTCAAGATGTGCTCTTCTTTATTGATAATATCTTTAGGTGAGGCATTTATTGATAATATCTTTAGGTGAGGCAATGTGTTAAGTCTGTAGTTATCGTTTCGGAGGTAATTGTCTTCCTATTGTTTCTAAGTGCTCCCTCATTGGTGCTTTTTTATAACCCTAGTTATTGTACCATTTTCCTATATTTTGTCTACCTTCCAGTAAATGATATTGTAAAAATCTTTAAACAAAATTATAGATGCTGCTAGAGCATGTTCAACACTTGATGATGTGGATACGATTGATAAATTGGTTGTAATTACCAAAGTGTAGTTACAGGATGAGAACTAAGCCTATGGTGTCCCATCTTCCCAATACTCTTTGTCATATGATGCATTGAAACTACTAATGGTTTTGGCCTCCACCACCTTTTCACGTATTCCAACCATCTACCACTTTATTTGCAAAAGTGAACTTTCTAATTTTTGGGGGGCAGCATTGTTCCCTAGTTTGAACCTATATCCTCTTGTTCTTGAAGTTGCCGTTTTAAAAAATCCTTTGTCAGTTTTGTCGATATACTCCATGCAAATAAAAGGACCCAGTGTATGGAACTCACTCCCTAATGAATTAACGAATTGTTCACCCTATACTTTATTCAAAAGTAAAACTAAAAAGTACATCCCAACATTACCATTCTGTAGCAACAGTCCATTTGTTGTTGGCTTAGTTGCTTCAATTACTGGTGGGTGGCATATGGATGCAATTTGTGCAAGATCAATGGCATCCCAACATTTTCATTTTGGAGCAACAGTCCATTTATAGTTGGCTAGTTTTGTCCTCAGAGTTGCTGACCTTGTGCTACCCACTCACCTAATTCAGTGCTTAAGACATGCAACTTCATCGGTATAATTTGTTCTATCAAGTTGTAATGTAGTTATTATGTTAAACTCAAGTTCTGTTACAATGTACCGGTTATTACTTTTATTGTTTAGCTTAAGGACCTGTGTGAAATGCTATGCATATTAGTGGCTCTGCAAGAATGTAACACTCAAACCCCAGTGTATGTATTTTCTCAACCGAATGTGCCTTCTTGGATATAAATAAATCAATAAAAAAAATTAAAAAATTTGTATGTAGTGATCATGTCATCACCTTTGTAATAGGAAGATGATGCACCTACACTGCTGCACTGTGTACTAAAGTGGCAAAAGACAGGTGAAGAATGGCAATCATATTAAATGTTAATAGTGATGTGGATGGATCATGAAAGAGAAGAATCCATTACAGGAAGACAAAATTAAGAATGTTGAATATTGGTTGAAGGGTTTGTTGTACATGATAGTTGATGATGGAAGTGAAGTGCTCACAATGGTGGACGTGAAGTTTTTCCTAATGCCTTATCAAGATCACTCTGGGCCAGTGGCTGACCTATCGTCAAATGCAAGACCATGCATATGGGGCATAACAACCCACACCACAACTACCAAGTTAATAACATTACATTACAACAGATTGATTAAGAAAAGGACCTTGGAGTCAAAATCCACCACTCACCAAAAGTTGCACAACAGGTAGGAGCAGCAGTCAGAAAAGCTAACCAAACCCTTGGAATAATCAAGCATTCTTTTGACTTTAAGGAAAAGAAGGTAATGATTCACCTATATAAATATCTGGTGCACTGCCCCCTCCCACATTTGAATTACTGTATCCAAGCATGGTGTCCTCATTTTCAGAAGGACATAGCTGCTCTAGAGAAAGTGCAACACCAGGCAACAAAAGTCATTCCAGAGTTAAATCATCTCTTGTATCTGGAACGGTTGAAGGCCACAGAGCTAATAACACTGCTAACCAGGCATGTCAGGGCAGATCTCACTGAAACTTTTAAAATACTGAACAAGTTAGGGGATGTTGATCTGGACAATTTCTTCAAAAGGTCAGATGTAACACAAACAAGGAGCAATGGTTTCAAGCTCAACCAGTTACAATGTTGGACTGAGAACAGGAGATGCTTTTTCACCCACAGGGTTATAAACCCATAGAACTGCCAACCCCCCGAAGTCGTAAATGTCAAAGCTGTGTTGAGTTTTAAAATCTACCTGAAAAGATGAAGACACATGAGGTGACCTTCGACGAGCTGCCAGCTTCCTGCCCTCATCGAGGCCACTACAGTTAGTGGCCCCTCAGGTAAATGAGGTAAATCTTTCACAGGACGCAACACACAATAATCTAGTTCCTGGGGACTAATTTGCTGCTAAGTAAAAGAGAGGCAACTGGTATAGAGGAAACATGCCCATATTATTATGTTTATGTTTCACCTTGTCAGGAAAAGAAAATCAGATTCAGTAGGTTGTGAATCGACTGTGATAGGCACTGTGATACAAAGCAGTGGCACTAGGTATAAAATTTGTACAATTGAAGTACTGTACAGTACAGTACCTGTTAATACAAAATTGTCATGATTTGTACATGGTAGGGAAATTACTACTGAATAGACGGTATAATTGAGATACCAATTACCTCTGGATGTACAGTATTAGAAAATAATTGAAATTATTATAAGTGAAGAACATTTTTAATTAAGAAATGTATTAAGAAAAAAATGTTCATAAAAAACAAAGGCAGCTAATGAAAATGACATTATTCATCAGATTTACTCAAGCCGGGTCGGAAGTGTCTGCACTACTAGGACGCATACCTTCAGCTGTGGGTTACCAACCAACGCTAGCCACTGACATGGGCAACATGCAGGAACGAATTACTACCACAAAGAAGGGATCCATTACCTCAGTTCAGGTGAGACACTATTTAGTACAGTTGGCTCTTGGTTCAGCAAGGCAGGATTTGACGTCCTTCACTGACATACTTCAGTTTGCTTTATTCTGTTTACTTCTAAATGTAATAAACATTGATACCATATTTCAACTATAATAATAATAAAATAAAAATATTAAAATAAAAATAATAATACAGTAATAATAATAGTAATAATAATAATAATATTTTATTCATAAAATACTATATACTAAGGAACATGTTACAGTGGTTATTTAGTACAGTACAGTATTTAGTTATACCCTACTGAACCAAATATTTGCTTCAGGCCTGCCTAACCTCCCAACATTTTATATACTTAATTCCTCATAGTTGCCTATCAGTTTCTCCATCATTTTGCCTCAAGGAATCCCTGGTCATTCATGTCCTCCTCTTTCGCAAGGTTTCATATAATGAGGTTGTTTTTTTTCGTCTTTGCCTATCCATGGCTTTTGCATCCCTCTCCTGAGCACCTGCATACCTATCCTGAACTATGCCTGTTTTCAATGTGTTTCCTTCAGGTGTCTGATTTTTCCGCGGGCTCACCTGGTTGGCCCCAGGGAGCATGCCTATAAAGTGTATTTTGTATTGATTGTTTAAAGTCTGTAAATTGTTTCATCAAAACTTTCTTTTCCTCCTGCAACTTTTTCATTGCCTTGTGACCTTCAAGCAGTTCCTTCATTATTGATGTCAAAATGTCACCAGATAGACATAGGACTCTGAATGACCCCTGTCCTATGGACAAATCACATATTGTTTTAACCCCGTAAACAGTTCCAATCACTATATTCGATCACCACCTGTGCTTGTATCACCAAATGCAAGTTTTGTTACATTAGTTTTGGAAACTAGTTTTTATTATATCCACCACAATGTATAGGACTTAATTAGCTGAGCCATTTAATGGTTATGGCCAGTAGATTTGGCTAAAAAATGTGTTGTCTGTCTCTGTTTAACTCAAAGCCTTATTGTTCATGTTTCAGGCTATTTATGTGCCAGCTGACGACTTGACGGATCCTGCACCAGCAACCACATTTGCTCATCTTGACGCTACTACTGTACTCTCTCGAGGTATAGCAGAATTGGGGATCTATCCTGCTGTTGACCCTTTGGATTCTACTTCTAGAATTATGGACCCAAATATCATTGGCATCGAGCATTATAATACTGCTCGAGGTGTTCAAAAGATTCTTCAGGTATTGTGATTTTATCATCTGAATAAAGATAAATTGCCAGTGTAGTTATATGTATTTTGTAGTTAAGTTTAGCTGTCTCTACATGTAATATAATGTCTTTCTTTTATACTTGTCATAAGTACCAAGTAGTTTTCAAGTTAATTCTAACCATCCACAATACTGATAAAAAAATCTTATTATTCCTCATACTTCATGCACAGTTGAGGTTTTATTTATTTATTTATTTATTTATATACAAGAGGGTACATTGGGGGGTTAACAGAGAACGTAGAAATTAAGTTGAATTTACATTCTTGTAAAGCCACTAGCACGCATAGCGTTTCGGGCTTGGTGTTAAGCCAAGTAAATAAATAATCTGAAAAATATCACAAAGTATTTCTTTAGAAATATAGTACCATACAGTATTATCTTGATAATATGAATAGGCAACCAAGACTACCTATCTTGACCAACTGTAATAAAAATGTACAGGGTTTTTTTTTTTTAATTTTTGCCTTTTTTTTTTTTGTCAACAGCATGGAAAATATATTTTGTACAATTTGGTTACTTAGAACAAATACATTATGTAGATTTGTTTTACTAATTCTGATCTTAATTAAATCTTTGTATTACTGTGCTTTATTACAGGACTATAAATCACTACAAGATATTATTGCTATTTTGGGCATGGATGAGCTCTCTGAAGAAGATAAATTAACTGTATCAAGAGCGCGGAAAGTCCAGAAGTTTATGTCGCAGCCATTCCAGGTTGCAGAAGTTTTCACTGGCTATGAAGGAAAGTTTGTCCCTCTAGAAAAGACAATTAAGGTGAGTAAACAAGTATTCACTGGGTTATGGAAGAGATTGAACATATTTCAAGCATATTACAAAATTTATTTGCAAGAAACTAGTTTGATATAATTACAATGAACTGTGTGTTACTCATCAATAATAATAATACAGCAAAATGATTATAACTATATTATAAGCCTACTGCATCACAAAATATTTTAGTAACAACAGAGGATAAAATACTGTATGAAAAACTTTCAAGCTTGAGAACTCCATTGCCTACTCCAGAGTGCATGTGAGTTGTATGTAAAACTAGGTTGGCTACCAGGTCTGTGCCTTCAAACTCGTAATAGATCCTGGTGGATCCCAGGTTACATAATTTTTGTCATGCCATGGTTCATGGGTTAAGGCATTCATCTTTGGTTAACCAGGATGCTGATTAATTCTCTTTCTTGCTCCAATAATTTGCTCATAGACATATATAATAATTTTTGGGTGTTTAGAAAAGGAAATATCATGTAGGGTGGACAGACCAGCATAAGAGATGAAAATCATTAAGAAAATTGTAGGTTTAGGAGAAGGCCTCAATTCAAAGGAAAATGTCAGTGATTTTAGGAGGATAGGAAAATATGAGAAAAACAAAAATTGCCCCCTTAAAGATGACATTTAAGGGAGTGAAACAAATGATGGAAATGCTTAGAAATGTCAGGAAATTGCAGAGTAATGAGGATGGCAAACTTTGGTCAATAAGACAAGCCCTCTCAAAGAAAGACAGAAAAGTTGAAAATAAACCCCAATGAAGCAAAACATCTAAATGGGAATAGAAATGAAGAAGAAAAATTATTTTTTCAACAAAGTGTTAGGGACTGGAAAGCTAATGAAATCATTAGAGAAAGGGGAATTAGAGGACAAAGAAAAGGGGAACATGTTCCTGAAAATTGTATATACCAACATAGATGGAGTGAAATAAAAAAATACTGGAGCTAAAAGATATAATTCAGCTTAAGATCCCAGGTTTTGATGCACTAACAGAGACAAAACTTTAAGAAAATATTTTAAATGAGATCGTATTCCCAAGGGGCTACTCAGTTTGGAGACATGACAGGAAAACTAGGAAGGGAGGAGGAGTGGGTATGGTGGTGAAAGAACATCTGAAGGTAAGAGAGTTAATATTCGAAAACCCTGAAAACTTTGACCATGGCATTGCTGGTTTGGAATCAGCAGGAAATGTCATGCATTATATATATATATATATATATAATTTATTTATGTAAAATTGCATACATTTGAAAATGTTGCAATGGAAAATTCATTGGTAAGAAATGTACAACACACAAAACAACCAATCCACATAGTATTTCAGGCATATTAATTATGGTAGAAAGCTTTGAATGAGGAGATTATATATCACCAAACATAACAATCTTTTATTGATTTCCAGAGCTTCAAAGATATTTTGTCTGGAAATTATGACCACATTCCAGAAGCAGCTTTCTACATGGTTGGAGACATTGAAGACGTAACCAAAAAGGCGCAGCTACTCACCCAGTAATAGAGCACTGCAGTGCTACAGCAGAACACGCTGTTCTGCATGCAGACCAAATATCCTACTTTTGAGGTTGCAATACTGGTTATATTATTGATTGTTCGCAGGCAAAATGTATTTTTTAGGCACTCCACTTTTGTATTTGCCCTTTTATATGTGTTTTGTAGAAATGCACTATCTTACTTAAGGTAAGAGTAGTCTTGCTATGAACTACTTGGCCCTTTGATAAAAGATAACTTGCTATAAAAATTATTTGAATAATAATGTTAATTTAAAAAATATGTATGCTGCATTGATTATATTAGCATTCATTGTATGCATACATGGAACAACATTTGCAATATTTTTTTTTTATAATTCTGCTAATTACATTGTTAGTTATATGCTGCACTTGAACGGTATAGTATTGGACTTATTGTATCATATATTGTAATTGTTTATACTCTCATGTGATTTAAGCTAATTCAATAAAATGCTTGCAAAATCATACCATGGTTTTTATTTATGCTTTCTCAGATAGGAAGCCCCTAATTGGCTTACTAAGGTTAAGATTGTCTTATATGGTTGCCCATCCAGTTACTGTCCAGGGTGAGCATTGCTTAACCTAGCCTATATGATATATTCATTGTTCATAATAATGTGCTGTTTTGGGGCCATTAAAGGCAAGTGTTCTGTAATAGTTTACTGTATTGTAATTTATATTTACAGCATTTAAAATAGAAATTACAGCAATGTCAAATACAGTTCCCAAAATACAAATACCAGTCTCCGTGGTGTAGTGGTAAGACACTCGCCTGGCATTCCGCGAGCGCTTTGTCATGGGTTCGTATCATGGCCGGGGAGGATTTACTGGGCGCAAATCCTTAACTGTAGCCTCTGTTTAACTCAACAGTAAAATGTGTACTTGGTTGTAAAAACGATTCTTCGTGGGGGTCGTATTATAGGGACCTGCCCGAAACGCTAGACGTACTAGTGGCTGTACAAGAATGTAACAACTCTTGTATATATCTTAAAAAAAAAAAAAAGTGGCCCAAAACGCTATGCGTGTTTGTGGCTTTACAAGAATGTAATTTCAACTTAAACTCTATGTTCGCTGTTACCCTCCAATGTACCTTCTTGTATATATATAAATAAATAAATAAATAAATAAATAAATAAATAAGTTACATTGAAGAGAATCCAAGGAAATAGTCTTGATGAATACAGTAGTCACAAAAATTGACCTGTTATTGATCTGCCAGATTTTACATAACCATGACCTAGACTTTACAGTATTTCCAAAATTTACTGTAATTTTGTAATTACGGTTTGTAATCAATATGTTAATTGATAACATATTGATTACAAACACACATTGTCCAGATCATAACCTATATGGAGTTTGGACAATCTGTGCAGGCCAGGTCTATGCCAATCTCAAATTCAAGAGGAGAATTCAGCAAATTTTATTTTAATAATCATGTTAACTAGGACAAATAAACCACAACTTAAAATAAATAAGTTGGGAAGAAAAGCTGCGGTATGCAGACCTAAGTCATTGCCTCCAGAGAATAGGCAAAGTTGCTCAGAGCAAATATTCATCACACCAAAAAATATATGTTAATCAGAATGAGAATGTCTTGCTCTCTCTAGGTGAAGAAAAACAAAATAAAATACAGTAACTACTCAAGGGCTTCACACACAATCCCGAGAACAATAAGGAAGACTATGTGGAGACAGAAGCGATTGAATGATTGATAAAGGTTAAGCCACCCAGGAGGTGGCATGGACATGAATAGCCCGTAAATTGAACTAAAATGCTTCTGTGTCTTTTATACTGGACTTGGTATCTTTGGACTTTATTTGTATCGGATTTTTTATACCGAAAATATGCAAATTATGAATATGTTAAATATTTTATTGGAAATATTAATATGAAATATTAGAGTGGTTACACACAGAAATCACAATAACGTGATGCATCAATGAACAAATCCACAAGGGCCGTGACAAGGATTTGAACCTACATCCGAGATCATCCCAGACGCTGCCTTAATTGACTGAGCAACGACATGGTCAAAAGAGTTGAAACCGAAGTTCTACTGAACTGGATCCTGTAGCATCTCCGAGACAAACCAGGGTTTTACACAACTTCCCCATGCACTCGAGCTATGTCAATAGGCTGTTCTACCTCTTCGCCCTTACTTCATTACACACAGAAATCACAATAACATTGATGCATCAATGTACAAAATAGTTTTTGACCATGTCGTAGCTCAGTCGATTAAGGCAGCGTCTGGGATGATCTTGGACATAGGTTCGAATCCTCGTCACGGCCCTTGTGGATTTGTTCATTGATGCATCAGGTTATTGTGATTTTTGTGTGTAATGAAGTAAGGGCGAAGAGGTAGAACAGCCTATTGACATAGCTCGGGTGCAGGGGGGAGTTGTGTAAAACCCTGGTTTGTGTCACGGAGAGGCAACAGGATCCAGTAAGTTCAGTAGAACTTCGGTTTCAACTCTTTTTGACCATGTCATAGCTCAGTCGATTAAGGCAGCGTCTGGGATGATCTCGGATGTAGGTTCGAATCCTTGTCACTGCCCTTGTGGATTTGTTCATTGATGCTGACATTGATGTTCATTGTTCATTGATGATGCATCACGTTATTGTGATTTCTGTGTGTAATGAAGTAAGGGCAAAGAGGTAGAACAGCCTATTGACATAGCTCGAGTGCATGGGGGAGTTGTGTAAAACCCTGGTTTGTATCTGGGAGAGGCTACAGGATCCAGTAAGTTCAGTAGAACTTCGGTTTCAACTCTTTTTAACCATGTCGTAGCTCAGTCGATTAAGGCAGCGTCTGGGATGATCTCGGACGTAGGTTAGAATCCTCGTCACGGCCCTTGTGGATTTGTTTATTAGTGGTAATATTTTGCCCAACTTGACCTGCAGTTTTCAGAATACCATTACTATGCCTATTTGAAAGGTGACTTGATCATTTTAGAGCGGAATTCAGGGTGATTGCACATATTTGGAGTTTTTAATTACGTCTTTATATATCGAAAATATGCTAATTAGTGAAAACGACAATTGGTCAGCTTTTGCCCAAATTGACCTGCAGTTTTCAAAATACGACGCCTGTCGGAAATAGGACTTTTGGGCATTATTTTTTTAGCGGAATTCAGGGTGATTGCACATATTTAAAGTTTTAAATTACGACTTTTTATACAGAAAATGCGGCAGCTGGATAACAGATGGATGACTGATGAATGAGGGTGATTAATCGCGCGGACCCGGGTGCAGTTTCCGGTTACTCTTCCCCCTCCCCCACTTGATGCATGATAATGTTAAGGTTAACTAATGTATTCTAGAGACTCTAGCTATTGGACCCGTCTTACTAGTTTAAATAGTCGTATGTTGTACGTAGTAAACTCCTATTTTTTCCCTAGTGTAAGGATTCGCAGTTATATGATTAGGATAACCTTAGAGGATATATGTGTTTGCCTCTAGTCAAATACCTACAGGTATCACAATCAGGGATCCATAACCACAGAGGCCCGGTCTCTGGAGTGGATGAACTCCACCTGCCACCGCCATCACCATGGTCCCCCACCACAGTATCTCATCACCAGGGGTCCTCCACCACCTACCAGCACCACCTACCAGCACCTATACCTACTAGCACTGAATCTAACTAGATTCCCTCATTATGGCAAATGGGGGTCGATCTTGCCAGACGTAAGAGCATTTTAGATGATCAGAGTGTAAGTACAATGTGTTAATATTCTGTTAACGTATTGTAAAGCTAGGATGTTAATTAAATTTAGAACTGCATAGTGGCAATTTAATATTGTATTGGATGATAAAGAAAATGTTACTGTACGATCAGTTAGTTGTTTACACAGGCAGCAAGCCGCGTGGGAAAAATTCAGTCATCTCTTAACTAAACTCCAGGTGGGACGTCAGTCGTAGTGCTGTGTGGCGCTCTTTTCTTCTCTTTCCACTTTTTTCTCTTCTTAATCTTTATTGAATCAGGTTAAGTAATATATACCATTATTGTAACGTGCCACTCGATGTTCTAAGTGTAATTGTGTCTGTCCTAGTCACTTATTTTGAGTTCCAAATGTTTATTTCTTTGGGGCGACTATAGTGAACACTTGTTGTATTCACCTAGTTGTGCTTGCGGGGGTTGAGCTCTGGCTCTTTGGTCCCGCCTCTCAACTGTTTCTAATACTATCTTTTTCCACACCACACACACACACCCTAGGAAGCAGCCCGTGACAGCTGACTAACTCCCAGGTACCTATTTACTGCTAGGTAACAGGGGGTATAGGTTGAAAGAAACTGCCCATCGTTTCTCGCCAGCGCCCGGGATCGAACCCGGGACCACAGGATCACGTGTCCAGCGTGCTGTCAGCTCGGCTCCCAAAACTGTGTTGTGTGTGTTATTAGTATTGTTATTATTAGTAGTACTCCCCAGTATTGGGGAGAGTACTCCTCCACTCTCCCCCATACTCCACCACTCTCCCACTATCCCCCATACTCCACCACTCTCCCCCATACTCCGCCACTCTCCCCCATACTCCACCACTCTCCCCCATACTCCACCACTCTCCCCCATACTCCACCACTCTCCCCCATACTCCACCACTCTCCCCCATACTCCACCACTCTCCCCCATACTCCGCCACTCTCTCCCATACTCCACCACTCTCCCCCATACTCCACCACTCTCCCCCATACTCCACCACTCTCCCCCATACTCCACCACTCTCCCCCATACTCCACCACTCTCCCCCATACTCCGCCACTCTCCCCCATACTCCCCCACTCTCTCCCATACTCCCTCACTCTCCCATACTCCCCCACTATCGCCTATACTCCCCCATACTCCACCACTCTCCCCCATACTCCACCACTCTCCCCCATACTCCACCACTCTCCCCCATACTCCGCCACTCTCTCCCATACTCCCTCACTCTCCCATACTCCCCCACTATCGCCTATACTCCCCCATACTCCACCACTCTCCCCCATACTCCACCACTCTCCCCCATACTCCACCACTCTCCCTCACCCTCCCGCACTCTCTCCCATACTCCCCCACTCTCCCCGAAACGCTATGCATACTAGTGTCCCAAAATTTGCCAGTGCAGGCTACTAAACACATGGCCCTGTATGACTAACCATCCTTGGAGATGGCCGACTTTTATTACCACTGCTGCCTTATTCACTCTTGTGTTGATGATATCCTCATAATGCTTTCGGAGTCTGCCAGTGCAGACTGCCCATCACATGCCTCTGTATGACTAACCATTCCGTGTGATGGAGATTTTTTAGCATCACCTAGTTAGCTTTTTTGACACACTGTACTCCACTTCATATAGTCTAGAGTAGCTGCACAAATGCAGATATATCTCATGTATTAATAAAAAAAATATTAGTGACTTTAGGTATTGTATGTACTAGCTCTATCTTTAAATCCAACATTATGTCTTGTAACTCATCTT